GCGAAATAGATTATTCCAGAAAAATCGATTTAATATGATTGTACTTTTGCTATCTTTCAATTGACCAATTTTTCTCCACACGCAAGCTCGTTTTTTTATAAACCATTAATGATGATTGCAACTTACTTAATAATGTTAGACTTGCTTTTGCCTGAATCCCACGGCTTTGACAATAAAACATTGATAAATTAACACTGAAAGGACTTCACAACTTTGTGTGACAAAATATCATTTCTATTAATGAGAGATCAACTAGCGTCAAATATCTAAAAGCATTTCTTGCGTCGTGTAGAAACGTGGGGAAGGAAATCACCATGAAAGAAATCAACTGAAAATTGACGAGAACGTAAAACTAGAAAACAAGTTTGTCATTTGCTAAATTATATTGAAATGGATTTCAGTTTTTAATTGGAAATCTGAAAAGAATGAAACTTTTCTCTTTTTTTTTCGTCGGTTTTAACGCGTATCACTTATTTGATATCAGAAATAGAATTCCAGGTTCCTTTCACATCAAGAACCAAGAAAACTGTCGAATTTCTGTGCTTGTCGTCTTAATCATTATTATGTTTCATTGCCTTTGAACATGTTTGACACGAAAACTTATAAGAATATCTTCACGACACTACACAAGTCTTTTTTTTTTATTATAATTGAATGTGCATTATTGGTAATTTCAATACAATACAGTTTTGTTAGTGTTGGTCCTATTGAATGACTATCAATGCCAAGTGAAAATTCTCATTCACTGGCGTTTTCTCTTCAAAGTCGCCCAATATTTAAATTGAGACTGTGTCTAACAAGAAATAGTAGGTTTTACCTAGCCATTTGGAATTTCTCAGTGGAATTTCAACATTTAGATGTACATTTTATGCACGAAATAAAATGCAGATATTAAGAAAACAACAAGCATAGAAAATTGAATTGATCAGATGGCAAATTTCTTGAGCACGTATATTCATTTGCTTTCTTGGTTGTTTTCTTTTTTCTTTTTTTTTCTTTTTTTGTCGTATAATTTTTGTAAGAAAAAAATGTCCGTCATTGTCCCATCGAAATTACGATAGTGATAGTAAAAGAAGAGAAACAACGATTAGAAAGATGGCAATGAGAACTGATTATATTTATTTTAGAAAATCAAAAAACTGCAACTAACGTTTCCCTAATGATTTCTAAATATTTGAACATTATTTGGCGGTCGACAAGAATATTAAAAAATGAATTTGATTGTGGCTGGTCAGCTTAGTAATGTTTTCTTATGTTTACTCTATTGATGTGGCAGTGATGCCATGTTATTAAGTTACACAAACTCTGATGAGTTTGTGTTTATTGGAGAGCATGCAGATATTCACTTAAACGGCAAATAAACCTAATGGCATTTCTGAACAATGTCTTCTCGTGAACATGATCGACGTCACTTGCAAATTGTTTGCATTCACATTTAAAATGCTAGAATTTCGTGACATAGCAGCAACAAATTTACTCAGTATTATCTTCCAAATTCCTATCAGCCATATTTGTATCAACTAAAATGGAAACTTCAGTATGTATGCGATCATAGCCCTCCACAACTTCCTATTCTTTATAGCTCTAAGCAAGGTGTGTCTTTTTACTATTCATCCCAGTCCATTGCCGTCCATTTAAAAGAAATTAAATACTGCACACTTAATTTATTGTAGTGTCAATACATTAAATATTTACAACATCAAAGTAAAGGCAATCAATTGTTAACTGACGATCTTCTACAACCATCACAGTTGGTGCATCTGTAAAATTATAGCTTTGATGTAGTATAACTAGTAAGAGAAGCAGCGGTACACATTTGTATTTGCATTTCTGTAACAGAACTTAAGATATTTTTCAAGATTCATTCTCTCTTTGCTTTATATTAACGATTGTGTCTGATACTACACATTTGCCAAGAACATCAAGTTTTCTCGCCAATATTTATCAATCAATCAAATTCTTCTCATATCAGCTGGTTAGTAAAGAGATTAATAAGACATAGCCAGCTAACTCAATTTTAAACTAATTAGTGCTACTTATTAAGTCATCGTGGACTGGTTCACTCCTTGCCAAATATATAATAACTGGTGAATTAACAAATTACTTTCAATGTTTGCCTATGCCTATAGTAGGTACTGTAAACGCAATGCAATATGCGGGATGGAACATTCTTCCGCATGCGTGAGATCTTAGTCTCCCAGTTATCTCACATTATATCACTTGTTTTGTTGAGAATCTGGCTTACAAAACGTTCTTCTCTCGTTCATTCCCCCCCCCCATCTCACTCAATCTCTTCTCTCTTTAAAACTTTTGAATTTTGAATATATATATAAGTTAAACACAATTATAATTATGCTCATTATTCAGGATGTTTTAAGAAATTTTGGGCCAAGAAAGGAATAGCCCATCCTATTCCACATTCATCATCAAGCAGTTCAACACGCCTAGCACATTGTTACTTAAGTCTCCCAAAAATGCAGATGCTTAATCATTAAAATTGCTCTTCTGCCGTTGTCCCCTCCGAATTAAACCTTTATTTTTTTTTTTAAACTCATGTCAATGTTTTGGAAAGAGAAGATAGTTAAAGGGATCAATACCGAATGAGTAGGGAGGCTCAAATCCTAAACTATTCAAAACCTCTATCATTTAGCCAGCAACGTTTTCTGTTTCAGTCCACATTTTTCTTTCAATGCCACTGTTAATCGACATTGTAAATTAGAGTAATATTAACTGAATGAACTTCCTAAAAATAATAATTTTTACTTTACTTATCCCTCCTGCATTTTAGGGTCGAGTACCCAAGTGCCGCCAGTGGACGAACTGATTTGTCACCAGATCAGTGGTGTAACTAAGTTTCATCAAAAGTAACAAGTCCTTCAAAAAAAATATCACTATGTTGCTGAAAATGCTACAAAATCAATTAGGTGTCTGATCGACATTCAAACATTTTAACAGCCACTTGGTTGATGTCTTCTTTATCCCCAAAGGCTCATGAATAACTCCATCACGTCTCTCGGATATCTGACCCATTCCGACCAAGAGTCGTTGATCCGCCAAATTTGTCATGAAGAATATCAACAAGTTCAGTTGATATACTGCAAGCGTCCCAAACCGTGCCGCATATCAATAATATCCTCGCTCTCAAAATATCCTCGCTGAAAGTTGTTTTCCCATCATCCAATGTTTGCATCATTCACTCACAAATTACCTATGAAATTTTCTTCTGCGGTAACAAGAATTTCATGACGACCCTGAGTTCAACACCAGACTTGACATGATCTGAAACAAATTCAAACATCAGCGCAAATATCCTGCAAAAATATAAAAGAGCAGTCTTTTGTTTTCTATAACAAAACGACGCTCAGATTTGGAAAATTTGGTCTGGCCGAGATTTTTTTCAGAAACCTATCATAAACTAGGGGGCAATGTCTGTCAAATCGTAAGTGAAGTTATATCAATCATCCTCAAAAAATCTCATTCGATATATTTTTAAAAAATGCAATTTACAAATGACAGTGCACTAGTATACCATTAGGCGACAGACAACGATCAGTTGCGAAAAGGATGTAGTATTTGACTGTGATGCAAAGATGAATGGCTTTGAAGTTTTCTGTTTAACTTTACGAGCTGATAAATTCACCGCTAGCCACTTGAGGAAAATGTTTTTAGAAACATAACTAGCAACAACGTTTATAAGATTGATTTTCATGAAGACAAGTAATTCTTTATGATATTCGCTAAGCAAAAAACTGTAGAATTTCTTCATATATCACGTAGGATATGTGCAAGATTAATCCCGGCCTTGAATCAACAAAAAAATATCAGGTCAGTCAGTTATGTGCTCTACGTTATACACACTAAGGCGATCGTGTGTCTTTACATCTTTCGATACGACGAGGCAGATTTTTTCCCGCAGTAGCTTGCTGCGGTAGACCAGATGCCATCCAAGTTACCATCCCGGTCTGTCCTGCTATTTACCCATAGATGGGGGAGGGAGAAGAAAAGGATTCATACCTTTCCCAAGGGTATTAGCACGTAAGTGAATGTAATGGATTCGGCTGGAATTCGAACTCAGCTCTCCGATTCCTCAATACGAGCCGCTATCCATGCATGCTTGCTTGCAAAATACATTTCTGCTCTGAATATGGCAACTGTCTTAGCATTTGAATCACAGCTTGGGAGTAAAGGAAGCAAGCAATGCTGACATTTTAATAGTATATTTTGAAAATCTAACAAATCTAAATTTTCAATTCTGAAATATATTTTTTAAATTTTTTTCATAAAAATAATTTATACGATTTGTTGCTTATTAATGGATTTATTTGACTGAGTTTATTCTTTAAATCACACGTTTTATCGTTAAAACTAAAGAGAATGGGAAAATGAACTTTCAACAGCTTATTTAATAGAATAATAGTCCCTTCTCTACTCTATACATTTATCCTTCAGTCTTCATATAAATATATATATATATATATATATATATATATATATATATATATATACTAATATGTTTATCATTGTACCACGACGACTATATATGCAATAAGCATATCGAACTGATTTTCTTACAATTTAGTTAGTACCATTTTGCGGCATTCATAAATCTGTCAAAGAAAATTCTAAGTAACGCAGTGATGTAAAGAGAAGGAACTCATTGTTTTCTTATCGATATGCTTCATCAATAATTTTCTTTTTTATTATCTTTTCTGGTCTGTTTCGGGTGTTTGTTTTTTTTTGGGGGGGGAATAATTTTAGATGTCTTTTTTTTTCTTTTTTTTTTTTTGTTAATAATGACGCAGATGTTATTTTCCTCTCGTTAATTTTCTATTTTGAATTTCTATTTTTCAGTCTGTTCCATTATGTCCAAGGGTGTTTTTGCTGTATTCGGAAAGGCGAACTCTTCAATGCTGGCGACAGTCAAGTCGTACAGTAACACCTTCCAAATTCCATATCTAACTACAAGTATGGCCATGAACACAACAGATCAGTCGCCCTACATGCTATTTTTGCGTCCCATTAACATCCGGGCTATTGTCGACCTCATAGAGCACTTGGGGTGGAGGGTGGTTCATTACATATACGTTTCGAATGAAGGTAAGTAACAATATTTATATGGTTTTCGAAACTCAATCTATATTTTTAAAGATTTAAATAATTTCTTAAATTCCATGTTCCTTCAAGGCATAGGCGATTATGATACTTCACAGACTCCTTTACTATCTGTAAACTGTGCTGACATCATAGGAATTTGAACTCAGTTCATCGACTTCACTTTCCGCGCTGCTAACTTATATTGCCGACACAGGATGTGCGGAATTAATCTTGTATTTTTTTTTTTTTTTTTGTGTGTGTAAATGAAACTTTACAAGATCCAATACTGATTATTTATCTTACTGTCATAAAAGTAAAAAAAAAAAAAAAAACATATAATCATCAAAAATTAGGTTACTTTTTTCTTTAGAAAAGAAGGTTAATCAAGAAAAAATTAAACTATATTCAGTTGTAATTAAATATATGATATTTTCATAACTGCTTTCCACTGAAATTGTGCATTTGAGAAAACCATTTGCATTGTAATTCGGTCATGTATCGCAAACTTGATTATCATTTGTAGATCATCACTTTAATGACAATGTATGTGATTAATTTAAAAGTGAACAAAGTACCAGCCAATTTGGGTTCTTTATTAAGAGAACAGAAACATACTTAATAATAATAATAATAATAATAATATATATATATATATATATATATATGAGTGTGTGTGTGTGTATTTATGTGTATGTGTGTGTACGTGTGTGTGTGTGTTGATTTTATATAAAATATTTGAATAATGCATATTGTCATAAAATATTTGAATAATGTATATTTCTAAATGTTATCTATGAAACGTTTAAAACTAAAGTAAGATCCATGATTCTGTTTAACGCCAGCTTTAATAAATAGTTTTTGAATACTAAAAGAATTTTGAACAAAGGCCGAAATTCTAAGTCTTTATCAATATTAAAATAGGAACCAATTCCATTTGTACATTTAGTCTTAAAAAAAGAACAACATTCCAATCAAAGGCACATCACAAACAGAAACACAAATGCCGAATTTAATACCGTTCCTGTAAATTAAAACTGATTTTATGTTTGCTGTATAGTGACATGATTAAGTGACTGCACACACACACACACACACACGAGAAAACCTGTGAATATTTTAAATAAAATTGACTTTTTACGAGAGAATTTGTTTATCAATTTTAAAAAAGTAAAACAACTGTAATGTATGTATCTATGTTCATATAAATGAAGACTGGTTTTAATATTAATTAAAAAAGGAAGGTATTTCTAATTTTGTTTAAGGGATTAAGTACATCAATAAGTCCGTAGGTAATGATGAAAAAAATAACCTTTCTTTTCAATGCATTCAATTAAATGTTTCTCCATTATATACACTGAAAATTATACAATGAAATTTTCAGAACAAAATTCATGTAACTGTGTCAGGTGTTATATTACACACAGGTCACTAATTACATATCACCTAAAACAGTAATATCCAATAATGTTAAAGAAATCCTATATTTATAGCCTAATACAATAGTTTGTATATACGAATCTTTCATTTTATTCTATTCCTTTCTAAACATAAAGTACATTTCAAGCTTGATATCTTTTTAATTTGCCTGCACCATTTTGACCGACATTTTCATAACTTTCTGCGTTCTCCATTCACTTCCAAATCAATCTATCGCTTTGTTTTATGCGTTTATATTCGGAAGCCCATCTTCAATGTTTCCCGGAAACTAGCGAGCTTCCTTGGCTCCTTCCGTTCGATGAAAAGCAAAATTGATTTCCATGTAGCTACGTTTTTCAATCGGAATTAGAGACAATCTACAAGTGCAGAAATGACAAGAGCGTCGGCAATGTAGGGAGGCTTTTGACGCAACTATTTAGGATAAGAGGAAACAGCATCAATAAGTGTTGTCCATTGATCTTGGGCCAAATTCAGATCTTTTACGAATGATTCCATTTGTAATCACCTAATATTGTTCTATATGTATCTTTCCGTTTCCAAAGAAGCTAAACACTGATAGATTCGTTCTGTTGGCATTCGTCAGATACAAGTTTGGAACGACAATAAAATTATGAAAGAAAGAAAAAAAGTTAAATCATTGACGAAAGGAAGAAATTAATAAATGAATAAAACACATCGAGATGTTTCCTGATACGATTGCAGCAGTTCAGGGGCGAAGAGAATACGTTTAAGAGAATTATTGAATGAAGCAAAAAAGGGGAAATAAACGAAAGAAAGCTACATGAAATTAATTTCCACAAAAAATACGAAGCAAGTCTGCTAAAAAGTGAAAAGGTAAAACTAAAAATGAATCGGCATTGAAAAAATAAATGACAAGCCCAAATATATAGAAATTGTAGAAAAAGTGAAAAGAGTTGCAGTATGAGTGGCAACTAAATAAAATTGGAAGTCTAAAAGATTGCTTTACGTTTCTATGCTTTTTGTTTTCTGTTCTTCAGGTTTAATGCGTGTTCAGCAGCTGTTTCAGGTGATGGGGAAGAGCGATCTTCAGATGACCCTGAACGTCAAACGAGCATCCGATGTCAACTCAAGTTATGTAATCCTCAAGGAACTTCATCATACCAATCCAGAGTTAGACATCCATGCCGTGCTGGATATGTCAATACCTATGGCGAGTGAACTAATGAATCTGCTGGTCAGTATTTGAAATTCCCTTAAAATGCGTTTTTCTTTTAGACATGCGCGCACACACACTTGATATTTGATACTTTTGCTAGATTAGCTCTTGTGGCCCAAAAATTTACTTAAATTGTATATAAAAGCGGATTCAGAAAAAGACAAATTGGCGAATATTCTGCTATAAAATACAAATGAATATGTTGTTTTTATTTTAGTTGTTAAAAAATTATTTGTAAAAACAATTCACTAAAATACAATTGTTTTGGCATTCAAAAATTGCATCTCTTTCTTATCATTGAGTAAATATATATATATAATATATATATATATATATATATATATATATATATATATATATATATATATATATATATATATATATATATATATATAGTGTATATATCAGAAATATATATATATATAATATATTATAATGTATAATATATATGTAATATATATATATATATATATATATATATATATATATATATATATATATATCATACATATATAATATAGATGGCCACTCGTATTCAAGAATACCCGTTTACTAGGGCGGCTAGTCAATCCCTATTGTAGACGTTTATTCAACAACTATGCTGAGCAGACCTTATTTATAGTTTCGAGTCATCTAGCGTGACCAACAATTTGATCAATACCAGTAGGCTCAATCTTCTGGCACGATGACTTGTGACTTCGTCCTAGCACAGCTATAGACGGCCCCAAGTTATGGCTTTATATATATTATATATATATATATATATATATATATATATATATATATATATATATATATATATATATATAGTATGAGAATGAAAATATATAAATCACCAGATATACAATTATATACAAAATATTTTTAATCAGGTTAATTTTCCCGCCTAAATACAGACTGTCTATTCCTTAACGTAGAAAAAAATGGCAGCCTGTTTAATTCCTTTATTTCTTGATTATCCTATTGTACCTTTTAATGTAGAACAGGTACAATAAGATTTACATTTTTGCCTGTATTTTCTTATATGCCATTGTTTACCAGAAACAAGAAGGCCAGATTCTATAAATGAAAGAGAATAAGAAAAAGGAATAGAGTAGATGATATACATTTTAAAGGGGCCTCATGCGCTTAAAGCTAAATTTAAGAGAAATTCTTTAAAGTAATTTCATGTATTTTAACTGTTTTCACAATATTTTCCAGTCGTGCGTTCTTTCTTCATTACATTTTTAAAATGGTCTTCAATTGTATTTCAGTTTCAATGTTCTTCAATCTTTTGCCAAATTAGCTTCCACTTGCTTAATTTTCGGTGTGTGTGCTTCCCTTTTTTACTTTTATTGACTTTTTAAATCGGGATGCAGAAAAATATGAAGTAACATTAAATTTAATGAATATAAGAATATGATGGCTTTAACAAAGCTTGGAAACAATAATAATTTACAAAAAAAATAGACATCTCAAGCAGTCTCGGTCGGGGAATTCGCATAGATAAATCCGTATGTCATTTACAAAATATAAGCTAAATGACGTCACGAACCTATCAGCCAATTAACGCTGTGGATGTCAATAAAAGCAATTACAACTAGTGACTGAAAGAGAATAACAAATTGTTGTTTTTCTTCGTCCGTCAATGTCTCCTCTCTCCCACCTACTGCGATGATGATTTTGTTTACAGCTAACCTCCGATTCAATGTATACTAAACTAATGTTGTTGATATTCGATGGCCTTTTGGCTGTCCGTTTAGCTAATAGTTCGCTCACGGCTTAGAAAGCACACTGTACTTAATTATAAAGCATATTGTACTTAATGCTATCAGAAGTGCCAACAGGGGATTAGCATCCGCTGATTAAACGAATATCTGCCTAAAAACATCAAAGTAAATTTGGTAACAACCAAAGATCACGCACACAGCAAACCACAGCGGCTTTACTAAACAGCCGATCATTTATTGCTGGTGCCAAACAAGCTTAAAATATTTGTGACACTGTTGCCTGTTAAAAATCGATGTACACATCGTCACATACTTATACATGTTGTGTATTTATTTAGATTTTAAAATTGCTAAAATTAAATAAGAACGGGGGGTGGCTTGCTGATGTTCAGTCAAATAACAAATGAATTCCATGTTTTTATACTTTTTATATTCTTACCTTATCTCACCGGAATGTTCCATAATATATCCTTTCTTCTTCAATGTTGTTCTTATTGCTATTATCAGATGCTTTAAGCCAACTTTATGTCTCAATTTTCAGTAATTCAAGAAATAAAATGCATTTTTCTTTCGTGTTTTTCCCCATTTCAGTTTAGATAAATATTGAAACCTCACTTCTTTTGTCTTGCTTTTTATCTAAACTTTGTTTTTATATACTTAATAAATATATGAATTGTTTCGCATAGCAACATTTATCTGGATGAGGCATAATTCCTGTCATATCTGCAACATTCTACTCTTTGTAGTCAAAGAGGAATTTTTTTCCTGTTATTCCTGTTGTCGAATTTAGCATTTGCCAAATTGTTGCAAACATTAGCAAACTGTTGCGAACATTAAACATTTTCTTGTGGTATATACTTCTGAATATACATGTATTAAATACTTTTGCAACAACTACGACTTCAGATAAGTTATTTGCCCGATACACTTTACAAAATCTGATCAAACATTTTTGAACTGCCTCTCAGTTAAACACCCCACTTATTTTTTTTTAATCTGAACTCTTCGTTATATGAATGTTAGCTTGAGAAAAATGTAAAAAAAGACGTGTAAAAAACACGTCTTTTTATTTACATTTTTCTCAAGCTAACATTCATATAACGAAGAGTTCAGATTAAAAAAAAATTTGTTTTTGTTTTTTGGGTTTTTTTTTTCTTCTTCTGATACTTGTCTAGACGAGCCGCGGACATAAGTACAAAGATAAAGGCCAAACATATTGTATGAAACATGACAATATAAACGGGCCTTTGCAGTTATAATAACAGAAAAAGAAAAATGGTAGAGAAACGATTGGTAATAAGGAAGGAATAATTGACATTAGTTGTTTTGTTTAAAGAAAAACAGATTGCTTATCTTAACTACTCCATTTTCCGCTATTTAAACCACTTGATTTTATTGCAAACTGTTTTTCCAGTATTATTTCGCCATAAAAGATCCGCAGAGTGTAAGCATTTCCAGTTGGTGAAACTAATGAAATAAATAAATAATAAAGAATAAATTTTTAAAACATGAGCACTAATTACTTATCTTGGACTAAGAGGCATTGATGAGTAAAATGGATATAAATTAATAATTGGCAGCGTCTACTTCGATTAAGGTATTATTGATGTTTGATGTTTCACTTTCAATTGGTGATAATGGTTCTGCTTGAGTGGTTCAAGATAGAGCAGTTTGCGTCTCAGAAGATGGGCTTTATTGTTATTTATGTTCACGTGAAGGTTTTAAAAAAACTCAATTGTTGCCTGTTAGATCAACCACCCAAAAGAATGAGAACCATTTTCTTTCCAAATGCACAGCTTTTGGACGTTTGACTGTTTAGCAAACAACATTTTGACTTCAGTCTACTTATCAAGCATTGTAGTCATTTCTTCGGAATCGATTTTGTTCTCATTTCCCTACTTACCACTATTAGATTCTGAATCTCTCATCTTGGCGAACTTCAATCGTCATTTCTCTTCTATATTCCTTTAATAATTCTTCACTGGCTTCTTCACAATGCTAATATCTTGAACAATCTGAGATATTTCAACTTCAACTGGATTCTTCTTGCTCAAAATCAAGGAAGTCATGCACAATTCTTTTCATGATTTCATTGAAAACAGATAAAAACGTCCCCCGGGCATTGACAGTAGTGTTGATTGATCCCCAAATAGTGTAATTACGATTCCCAAAGCTCCATCAATGTCAGTTCCTTGCCTGCTTCAGTGATTGCATGACATTGAACAAAGATATGCACGGTTTATAGTATTTTTCTATAAACCTGATTCATAGGTTGCAAGATCGTATTCAAGCACAGAAAATATACTTTGATAAATGGAAATATTGACTCGCTTAAACAAAGGCAGATCTGGATCATGAGCCTATTCATTATCAACAAGTAATAGAAAGTTCGTTGGTCTTCATGAATGTCTTGACAGTAAGATTTCCACGTCATTGAAGACCTTCTTAGCTAATAATACTTATTGCTCTTTCAGTAAAAAAAGAAAAAGAGATTTGGTAAATTTCTTAAATATTCTGGCGATTTCAGAATTGTAAACTCGTATTGGTCTCAACTTGATAGCTTTGGTCACAAGTAGAGAGAACCGTTATTTTATGCTAAATTTGCCTCTGCTTCGACAATGTCAGTACGATTGGCCAAAACCAGTCTGTGCTGTCAACATTAAATACTTACTATGGGGGTAGCTTAGATTTGGCACAAGGCCAAAAGTAAGAGGTACCCAGTGAGGATCGAACTTACTACTCGGTCGTAACTGATATAATGAGACAACATTGGTAGCCATTACACTAGGTTGAATTGCCCAAATACTTACTATAGAAGGTAGGTTTCTTTGTCAACAAGATCAGCAAAATCATACTTATATGTCTCGGTTGCAGACTTCTCCTGATCAGCCTTATTTATAATTTCAACCATATTCTATACCTAGTTGTTATTGTATTACTTTTCAAATTTTCATAAACCTTTTTGTCTTTTTCGCAAAATAAACTTCTTTTTCCCCACTTCCTCATTATCCAAATTTCTAAGTGTTGTTTTTTGGGTTTTTTTTTTCAAAATAACTAAAATTATGATTGTTTTAATTCCGTAAACTTTTGTTGTGGGGACGCCATAATCCATAGTTTCATATTTAGTTTGGATAGTAATTATTTTCCTACGGGAAAATCTTTTAGGACGCATGTTCAATAATAATTTGCTAAATAATAATAATGCCCAATAATGCATTAGCTTACTCGATAATGAATGTAGCAATGCAACAAATGATATGTAACTGGTGAGATGAAGCTAAATCCAAAAAGACACACGTCATTTGCAAATTCATTACAATTGTCTAATCGAACTTTTGAGAGATACATCAACTGCAGTGTTACCAATTTACTTCTATTTTGTCATTTTAATTGTTTGGATTTAAGAATTCAATGCTGCCATTTCAGATCATTTTACGACGAGTTTAAATTATGGCATTTGATCTTTTCTGTTAATTCAGCCGACAAAAGAATTATTCAGCCCACAAAAAAATTATTCACCCCAAAATAAAAAGAATTTGTATTTACTAAAATTCACATCAAATTCTTCCAGAGTGATGCCCTTCTATTGCACTCTGGTTGAGTTGACTTTTGCGATCGCCTCAAAGTGTAGAGGAATCGGGTACGCTTTTTTTTTTCTTTTTTTTTTTTTTAAATTGTAAAAAATTCATCCGCACTTACGAAATGGAAATAAATCCCTGATTTTTGGTAATTTTTCATTCTGAGGGTTGGGGTTGTTGCGAATTTTGATTTAAAATTTGTAATTACAAAAGAGTACCAAAAATTAAAAAAAAAAACTTTGATTTAAAATTTATAATTTCTTGGGATGAATTAATATTTGCGTTAAGTAACTTTACATTATTTGTTGTGAATAAACAGAAAAGAACCATGACATTTTCCCTCATTTCCATTTCTTTATTTCGTCAGTAACCAATTTAATATTGGCAAGATTACATTGACTAACACAGACATCCTAAATGTCTGTGTTAGTCAATGTAATCTTGTTTTAATAATTCTTCGCTGTGGGAGATATCACTGTATAGCCATCCATTGTAACGCTAGCAAAAAACAGTTTATTATACAGTGATTGAATGCGTGTATATGTGTAGAATTTACTTACCTACCCTCCCACGAATGTTTGATACAAGGTCACAGCGTGGAGCTCAGCCCGCGTATATGCGGGTGGTACCAGAAATTGTTCAATTCTCTCAAAACTTCTCTTTTCGAAATGCCTCGGGCATCAAGCATTGATCCTGGTTATCCCTTTTTAAGTGCAATGAAGAATAAATGTGAAAAAAAACTTTTTTAACCTAAAATACGTATTTTTTCTTTTTTTTTTTTTTTTTTTTTTTTTTTTTTTTTTTTTGTATATGTTTTATCCGTTCAGTTTCGAATTGGGGATGGCGTAAGAATTTGCACAATAAAATTAGCTCACATCATTTTCTTGAAAGTTTGGTGTGCAAATGCTTTTCGCTGGTGAGATGGCTAACCCTCTTCATTCCTTATGGTAACGGGCCTGGTTTCTACTTGGTATTGTCTGTTATTAACTGAATTTTGTTCCGTTACTAGAGTAAAAAGATACACTGAATGAATTGTTGCCGCAGATATCATGTTTTTATATTTGCTTTCCTTTCAGAGTGAGGATCCCCGAGTCCACAACCGAAGATTTCACTTCTTGCTAGTTGAGCCAGTAAGTTTTATGCTTCTTACGATTTACATAAGGAAAATGTCAGACAAAATCTAATACACTCGTTGAATAATGTCCTCATTTTTTTTCTAAATCTAATCAGATACGAAAAACTGAAAAAAAAATTATCTGGGGAAATAAGTGCATAAAAATTCCATTAAAAAATGAAACGTGGATTTTTTTCACTCATTACAAAAAAAATAGTGTTTATAAAAAAAAATCAATACAAAGAATGACAAAACCTGTGGCTGGGGTATTTATAAATTCTCATGAATTTCTATCTTGAAACATTGACAAAGAATCGGTTGGAAGTATGAAAATATTGACAATTAAATTTTCATTATCAAAGAAATTATCTCAGAAAGGGTTATTTCGTGTGAGTGCATTTTATATGCATGCATAGATTTGGTGTGTGCAAAGATCCAATATATAGATATGTAAAAACAAACAAAACTGTCCTCAATATGATTAATACGATGTATGTGCATTAATTAAATAAACAATACACATCTCTCATATATATATATATGTGTGTGCGTGTGTGTGTGCGAGAGAGACAGAAAGAGAACGAGAGAGAAACCTAATGTGTGTCCGTAAGTCTTGTATACAAGTATATTTATCATTATTCTTTACCCGCTTTCAAAATATCTTTTATTTACCTGCACGTTATTTTCTATAGATTCCGACCGGCACTATTGTTTCTCGGAATCAATTTACAAAAAGTCTGCATTATTTTTCTTAAACAAATTTGCTTTGTTGCAAGCATCTGAAAGAATTGGCTCATGGGTAATTTCTATTGTGCATTATTTTGTCTTCTTAGTTCACGAGTAAACCATCGAATATCTCATAAAACAATTATGCGCCATTAAACAAAAATGACAAATAAACGATTTCGGTTTAAATATCGTTCAGACGACTAAAATTGTGATGAGCATATTCATCGCCATTGCTGATTTTATCTACCATATTAATTATGATAATGTTCTCAGTAAAGACTATAACTTGACTTTAAATGATAATGTTAGCAATGAAGTTTTTTTTTTGTTTTTGTTTTTTTTACCTCCACCGTTTTTATTTGGCCTCTAATATTTTACTATACTATTTCTTGCCTTTTGGATTTGTGTGATTGAATGTTAAATGATGGACGGACAGTCAGGTTAATGCCTGAATTCACCGGTGAATAAAGCTGATAGGCCTGTGGTAGAATGGACTGAGAATCTAGAACTCGTGTGTGAACTATACAAAATCAAAAGAATTGAACAAGATCTTCCTCTGCGGCTGAGAGATGTGGTCCCTGCAGTGTATTGTCAACATAGCAAGGAACAGAAGACAGACATCGAGTAAATCAAGCACGCCTTCTTAACTGCGTTCGCGATAGACCCATTTGTGGCACGACGCTTGAGCTCTGGCGAAACAGTGGACGTGTTTTGGACAGAACTGGAGAAACTGGCTGTACTAATTGGAAAACTGCCAGAATAATGGATGGTATGTGCTTTTGCGTCGGAGCTGCCGAGCCAGGTCTGGCTGCCACTTCGAGCGTCATCCAGAATGGACGACATGAGACAACTACTAACCAGGGTCTGCGCCATTATGATGGATGAAAAAGAAAGAGACAGTCGCTCTAGCCACTTAACCAGCAGAAACCCACGATAATCGTCGTGGAAATTTCATCTGCTACAAATTTCATAGGCCTAATCATTTTACCAAAGACTATCAGTATCGACGTGAAGAGACGCAATGCGGTTCTGCGCGAATATCACGCACGGATAATTGATGCTTTCGAAGTAGGACACACTGTATCTAACAGCCCGGGAAATAGAATAGTGGACACGTCAGTGCCAGTCTCACTCCCCGAAAAGTCATGAAAGCGGCGCTCACTGTAATTAACGTACGCGTTGATGGGATAAGACAAATCGCCCTAGTGGTTGCTCTCAGTTTCTTACCTATATATCTTTCTGTCGTCCATGAAGCAGACAATAAATGGAAGTGTTGACGGTCGTTGGAAAGCTTCTCACGAGGATTAAAGGAGCGTAAAATTTTGTGTAAATGACGATAATCCAGTCAAAGTCGATGTCTTGGTTGTGGAGAGCGAACACAACAGGATTTGTACTGCATCATGGAAGTGGTCGGATGGACACCCACTAGAGTATCTAAAAACCTGGGTATCCGAATACCCTGTACGAACTAATGACATGCTGGAAATGGGTGGCTGGTATTTTACTCGGAAGAAGAACTTGGCCCCCAAGTGGTGCAAAAGAACAAGTGTTGTAATTACCGGGAAATAAATGGACATGTTGACACATACACTGCTTATACCGATGTTTGTGCGAAAAAATTAAGAGAACAGCGAAGAAAAGAGCGCAATGGCTCTGCGCTTGATCTCCAAAAAGTCGATCTGTAAATACATGTGCCCCAATTGCTATGACCATTTCAAACGGTCATTTACAAGAAATGGAGATACTGCCTAACTAGAATAGGATCTGGGCTGTCATGAAATACATTGTGGATAGCGTGCTAGCGAAAGATGAATCCATTCGACAGGCCACTTCAACTTATATTGACGATATCAACGAAAGTATAGCGTCCAAAAGACCTGAAATTGTGACACGCAGAAAGTGTTTTCACTATGCGGGAAATTGGTAGGATGGCTCCATATTGTGACTGCCTTCATTATGATGAACTGACGCCCCATGGTAATTATTATCATGGACGTCGTCACCCGGGTACAATAAACCGGTCACGTTACGGGGTAAGTGGTATGTTGACGAACAAGAGTTTCAAATATAGGTCAACGCAAGCTTTCTTGCAACTGGAGTGTCCCTCGATTTAAATTGACATGTAGTGAAGGATGCTTGGTTGTTGCGCCAAGAAAATGGCGTTCGGCACATGAATGTAGAAGATGTCGATGCCGTACTTAGTATTTCAATGGAAGGGAACAGAACTGCACTTATTCATGGGGAGATATTGGAAAGGCCAGGATACAAAGGTGAGATGCTCATTCAGAGGTAGCTTAGCAAGTTGGTCAATGAGTATAACTTGTCTGTGAGAATAACATTGATTAAATCTAACAAGAACCCAACAGACAAGCTGATGAAAGTGCCACAGAGATGACTTGACGCAATAAGGTAAAGAAGAACCCGTGAATGTTATGTGCAACTTCGATGTGCAAGTGCATCTCCGACCAGATAAGATCTGTACACTGTCAAAGTGGACCCCCACCCCACAGGCATCAGACGAATTCCGTACATTTACAAGGCGGATCAATCTTGTGGTTTCAAAAGCAGTTAAAACAGTAGTCAGGGAATGTCAAGAATATCAGTCAATTGAAAGTAAATTATTCGAATTAAAATACGAATGCAGCAAGAAAAAACAGCCCATTTTCATTTTAAAGAAAAAATTCCGAAAAAACGCCTTTTCTAAAAATATAAATTGCTCTTGAGAAACTGAGTTTGGATAATGTTTGCTTTACTCATTGAGTAGTCCGGCTCTTACCAAGTCAAAGTTTTCTGATACATCCGAGTAAAAGTAAATAATATTAAAGATTTGTTAAAACCAATCATTTGTAAAGCCCTAAATCCAACAAAATTTTCGGAAAATTATTTTGTTTTAACAAAATAATTTTCATCTGTTGATAGTTTTGTTAGTTGCGAACAACAATATTATTTTCAGATTTTCTTTCTTGTCCGTAGCCGGAACAATTATCAAAACTTTGATTAAAAAAATTTCACTCTGAGATTAATAGCGTAACATTAAATTAGGTGCATTGACAAGAAATGATATGGTGAAAATAAATTTGTGCAAATTATTTTTCCATCATTAGACTCGGTACATACATACGTATACCTATTATAAAGACACATTTAAATAATTCAGTTGCAGTGTAGGTCTTTTCAAACTTATGGATTCATTGGTGTAAAGTTTTCACTAATATTTTCTGTTTTCAGGGAATCCAAGAGTTGGACTTTACCAAAATTAGATTGTATGGCTACAATGTAAGTGGCTTCCAATTGGTCGACTTCAATAATATGACTGTTCGGCTATTTCTCTCGGACTGGACGAAAATCGACCCAGCAGAGTGGCCCGGGGCAGGAGTGAAAACAATCACGGTACGAAAAGTTTTACTTTCTCTTGTAACAAAAATTGTCATAAATTTAGTTATTTGTCACATTGCTCCTCAGCTATGCAACTTAATTAATATACTCGTTATTTATCGATAATAGGGTTTTTGGAATAATAATTTCCTTAGAAAACATTGGATTATATGTATCTCTATACAATTCTAAATAACAGGACCAAAATTTAAATTATGTGTTTCACTTTGGTATGGAAGGCATTTTTAAGGATGGCATTTGAACATTGTAATCCATTTTAATACAAAAAATACAAAAATAAAATAACAACAGTATTATAGGTTACTAGTTTTTAACTTATTAACTCCCAGGGCTTTCTCACTCCTGATTGACCATGTTTTCATGGGGTTAGTTGTAGCCATATTCACCATGCTTGGTGAGGCTATTTAACTCATAGTTGGGGGATTTGAATTCAGTTTTCCTTCTACTAGTCCAAAGCTATAGGATCCAATATGTACTGCTATTTATCCATAGTGGGGGGAGATTGATTCATACCTTTCCCAAGCGTATTTACTGAATCCAGCTCTTCAATTCCTCAACCTGAGCCACTATCCATTACTCCACTGTGCCTCCCAAAGTGGGACTGTGAGCCTTAATACCTGAGATGTTCATTTAACTAAACATTTTTATACAATAAAAGAGAATTCCCTTCCAATTTTTTTCATTTGTAAATGAGTGGAAATCTTCTCTTTTTTTTTTTTTTTTTTTTTTTAACAATTAGCCATTGGTCTCTCTGCCAATGTTTTTAAAATCTAAAGAATTGATAAATTTTGCAGAAAATTGTAAAAACTTGCACAGTGTATAGAATAGAATAACTATTTAAAAGCTTTTATTGATAACCACTAGATTTTTGCTTGAGGGTTGACATATGTGGATTTCTACCAGAGTCTGGCAGATTTATTCTAGAGACTAACCTTGCATTTATAGTTTATTTGATGTAAAGATAATGATCCATTAATACAGTGGCTTGTCTTATCGGTGAAATAGTAACTTGTATTTTTCACCAGTGCCAAAGTTGGAATTTCAAATGCTGATTCTCTAGGTAGGTAATCTGTTGCCATTTTGAAAATTGGTATAATACAGTCTTGCTACAAGCATTTATCACCATGTGTTAATGTTTCGTTTGCTTTAGAAATAGCATGTAAAGATGTCCAACGGACATTCATTGCATTTTTTTTATGCTAAATGTAGTGTTCGGTGTTAGGATTAAATCAGTTTGAATAAACAAGGATAAATAAGTGATTTTTGTCAGTGAACGAGAAAAAATTTCGAATTGTGAGAATAAACAAAGAATCGATTTGGATGAGAAAATGTCAAATTGTCTTTATTCCCGACAGGATTTGTTCTTTGCTGTTTCGTTTAGTTTGTCTCAAGCTACAAATATTTACAAGAGAGCTAGAATTTTTCCATAGCTTTCCGAGTGTACATGGACACAGTATATCACTAAGCATTTCTAACTTTTCTCTCCACCAAACAGAGCAAAAAGATGGTGCCACGTCGATTGAAAAGAATATCATTCAAAAAAAATCCAAGAAGAGATAACGTCAAAAAGAAATTATGAACTAAAAACACCACATAACGAATAATTAAAAGAGAAACAAAGAAAATCCAAGACACAAATATTTTTCTGAGAAAATAGAAACAATCCCTGATATAGACAAGTAGATAGTTTAAAAAATACCTTTAAAGTGATTAGAATAATTTGTTTATAGTAAAACGTAACAGAAGCTCTAAAGGATTCAAATAAAATCTAACTTTAACTGTTTAATATCAAAATAAATATAGACTTAGGTCATTAAAACTGGTTTCTATCGAATACAATTAACACAAGATATTTGCTGAGGAAGCACACGAGGTAACTTGATTTCGGTATCAAATATTATTATTTCTAGTTCAGTTGAATTATAAATAAACTTTGACAATAAACGGTGGGAATAATTTACAAAGATTTCACTCAAGATTTACATAAAAACAATTAAAAAGGATATTTAATTATTTAATTTTATATTTAACAGAAACATTTTTTCTTTATTCTACATTATAGTGAAGACAGAATTTCGTAACACAAAAACAATGATCGTCTTCGAAGCAGATAAAGGTTAAATATGATTCATTTAGAGCTTCATGACACAGAATTTTCTAATCATAAAACTAAGATGCCACAGAATAGAAATTAAATATTTTCTAAGATTATAATATTGTGAAGGGAAAACTAGTTTTGAAAATAAAATGGTATGAGTAGTTTTGTTTTCAATTTCCATATAACTTGAAAAATCTCTATAAGTTCATCGGCTGAACGTATATAGATTTCATTACAACTTACCGAGAATATTATCACATGATGATTTCTTAATATATAATCTTCAATTTTTCTTACTGATATACTAACATAGTCTGGTGCCTTTCGGCATCTGTGTATTATTGTATTTACAAAATATCGACTCTGATTACTTTCAAAGTTACCAAATATATTCTTCGGTAACTTTAAGTACAGAATCAAAATTCTATATTTACGGGACATGATCATGTTACTAGTTATTGAATTTCGGTTTAATACTTTTCTAGCAAAACTCTTTATAATTTAAATGTGAATGCATAGTTTTGGCTTAGTTATTTGTTTGTTTATTTCTTTGTTTGCTGTGTGCGTGCGTTTAAATCTTTACCTAATCGAAATTGAATTTACGTTTATGAAATTATATAAACAGCAAGAAAAATAAATCTCTCAGCTAAGAAGATTTGAATCTACATCCTTACATGTTTGTTTTCTTAAGATTTCTTCAACAAATAAAATGACAGAAAACAAAATTTTTCATATCCTGCGTTTAATTTGGCGATGTGCTAGATTCACACAGTTTTACGAAAATTAATGAATGGGGCTATATTCGGCAAATTGATATCAATTTATTTACCTCCAAAATAATTTACAGAAAAATATTCGAAGATAAGCCTGTATGGTAATGGTAATATTAGCATTTTCCTTATTGACCAAGTAGCCATCACTACTGTTGGTTAAAATTAATAAAAACTCTATCTGAAAACAAATTTTCAAGTTTCTCATAACCAGTAACTGTTAGTGTTCTTTCCAATATTGATGAGTGTTTCCTTCCTAACTTTTCATTTGAAGTAATGTATCATCTTAAGTATGTCTGTCTTCTCTTAGAGTTACATGTGATATCCATTTTAGCTGCTGCCTGTTGTTGAGTACTCAAATTCCTGTTTTAGTAAGTCCGATAGATTCAATAAAGTAAAACTGGTAGCTGCGCTCTAAAATAACCTCCACTAAAGAAGACAAGGAATGGTTTGTAAATTTGAACGCTTCCAAAACCAAATTGCTTTCAGTAAATCACCCTAAAATCTTTTCTGCCTTTCATCATCAATACTTTGTGCTTTCTTGAGCTCATATTTTCTATGTTATTGTTATTATTGCTATATGTTTGGTCTTGGTATGACGAAGGTTTCTGCTCGGCGAACACCTGATCAAAAGCGCCTCAGACTCTGATAATATTACGGGAAAATTTGACATTGTTTCAAACAAGTCCAGCCGGTTTCTTTGAACGTTTCCTAACCCAGGATAAGTTTTAGGTTCAACACTTTCAGCCAGAGACAATCTCTGCAGTGAAAACACGTCTCTCTTCACCTGCTTCAAAGAAGGCAAAGGTCGTTTCATCTACAGGTAAGATGATCACCTCAGTCTTTTGGCATACAAATGGCATTGCGTTTACTGACTATATTCAAAAGGGCTACACCCTCAATGAGGCAGTTAAGGTAGTTAAAGCTATCAAGACCAAGCGTCCAAGAAAACTGACGGAAAGGGGGGGGTTCATTTCGTCAGAACAATGATCCAGCACACAAGTCCTTGATTTTAATGACTGCTATGCGTGGCTGTGGCTTTTAACTAGTTTACAACTCTCCCTATTCTCCTTATTCAACTATCATCCGTTTCCCAACATGAAAAACATACTTGGCTGGGAACCAGTATCGCCGTGACGATGACGTCATATCTGCTGTTGATGACTTTTTTGACCAACAGGAAGAATTGTTTTCTTTGAATTGATGTCAGTTTACCTGGAAATAAACAATGTAAGAGTTGAAAGTTGAAACTAAGTTAAGAGTTGAAATTAATACATTGCTAGATTTCACAGCTCTAGCATAATTCAGCCTATGAACTTTTTAGCCCACCCGCGCATGTCGGCATATCAACCATCATCATCTTCGGGGGGGGGGAAGCAGGATCGTTGTAAACTATTAGTAAATTCGTTCTATAAGTTTAATAAAAGAGTGTTCTAATATACAGGGTGGTCCAATAATCTTGTCACCCAAATTCTCTCTTGAAAAATTATAGGAGCTTGTGTCAGCTATCTGAAAATAATATTATGTAGGTATGTAGGAGTGACAAGACTTTCGTATCAATATGTATAATATGTTATACGCATCCTTTGTAAACTTGCCGACAATTTCTGATCTTTAACCACTGTCTTTCAGTACGAGGCAGCGTTGGCAGTCGACGCTGTCAGTTTGTTCACGCGCGCAATGAAGAACTTGTCCAATTTCGGCCTTTTTGAGTCCCTTTTCATCCGCGCTAAGAGTGGAGCCAACAGCAGCAAAACTTGTGCAGCTGAGCGTCTGAATGTGTGGAACAAAGGTAAACATGTGCTCAAGGCAATGAAAGAGGTAAGTATTGTTTATCGTTAATTTTAGACGATTATTGAGAAAACGATTAAAAACATTAAACAATCATCCGAAATACAGAGGATTAGTGGTTGGCAACCGATCTCTCCTCTGACTTCTGACCTATCTCTAAAATCAATGTGACGGTGGGGACTAGCTGGTTTCATGCCTCGAAAACCAAACTAATTAAATTCCATCATCGCCGATCTGACCCTGAACTATCATCAGTCATTATTAATGAACGTTCACTCGGGAAGGCCTCGTGTCTGGGGCGACTATTGGACCTTAAAGTCAACCCGAACTTTAACTGAAGCTTGTACATACGATCCATAGCTAAAGATGTTGGAAAAATAGTTCCTTGTACTGCTCCAGTAAGTACCTGACTCCTTGTGTTATCTTCGACTTTTACAAGTAGAAGATAGTACAAGGAATCATAGCGTAAAATGAAGTAGTGCTGCCATATGATGACAGGAGATGCCCAGCCTTCACTTTCTATTCCAAAAGCATCTCCGCCTCCTTGTTGGTCACAAGTTATTTTCTGTCTTACAACCCCTTTTTCAAACATTGCAAGTCTCTCAATGCTCTGTCTCTATTTCCATGGAAATGGCTCAGACAAACTACATTCCTTAGTCCCGCCAGTTCAAAACTTTACGGCTAAGACCCGTCAGTCCACGCGTATTGTAGCAAACAACCCTCATTCATTTCGTATTCCATTGGTAAGACGTAAGTTCCAATCGAGCAGTTTCTGAAGATAACGGTTAGATCTTTAAGATTTTAGTGATCGGCAAAACATCGTCTTGTTCGAGTCTAAAGCTAACCGTTATCTTCACCACATATCCACATAAACTGTGGCTCCTAGTCCTTATACAGGATGAATATCACTGTAAATATATATATATATATATATATATATATATAAAGAACTCCACATCTGGAGTGTTGGCACATACCGATAATTTGTATCAGCTCAAGGAAAATATCCACATATATTTACTAATCTTAGCTTGGTACGACACAGACCAGATCTAACAGTAACAGAGATCCATCGCTCTGCAACAGGCGTCCAACGTCAATTCATAATTAGACTGCCATTTAAACTAAAGTAACATTTTTAAGGGTTAGAATCCCGTAAACCAATTATTTATTCGATATTTCTTAATGAAAAACAAAAAAGGCATCCTAATTACCATGATTCGAATAAATATTCCTAATTTTTAGTTTTAGGTACAATGAAATTAACAGACAATAAAAGTAAAAATAAACACACATGCAATGCGTGTGCGTGTGTACGTGCGTTAGTGAGTGTGTGTGTGTGTGTGTGTGTGTGTTACATATTAGAAATCCTCTTATGAAATGCATATAAAAAAATATATACATAAATCTGGAAGTGGGAAATGTTGGCCACATTAGGAACAATAATATAGTAAGAACCACAATTCCAGGTGTGTTTCAACGAATGACCATAAAGGGAAAAGCCATTGCTGAAAATATCCAATCGCATTTTCGTTTGTTTCATTTACTTTGTTTTTATAGCAAATAACAAAAATAAATGTCTCCATAACCCCCAACCACACCAAAAATAATTGAAGCCTGAGAATAAAACCGGTATTGTAATTTTATTCTAGGAATTGTATCCAAAGGATACTTGAGTTTTGTTGCCGGTAATGAAAAATACTCTCTGTGTCTGATATATATATATATATATATATATATATATATATATATATATATATATATATATATAACACCTTTATTTCCCCAAACCTCTTCAAAGCAACGTTTGAGATACACGTTGTGAATAAACAGAATGAACATCGATTCAGGATTGTGTTCTGCTGTCCGCAAATACAAAGAGAACCAACTTCATAATGTGCAAAGGTTCAGCAATTTTCTAACATCAAAGTTAATCTAATCGCCAGCACAAAAATATTTCAATTACAAAGTGAAAGATGAGAAACTACCATCTGAACCCTGTGCAAAAAAACAAAAAAACGAATATTTAATTTATGCACTTTTACGTATGCGTTTTCTATAAGTCTATGTATATATACTTTTAACTGGGAATAGATTAATGTAAAGATGTGTATGTGTGTACTTTTGTATGGTGTATTTGTATTATAAAAATTGACACACTCAGTAAAATCTATTCTTTTACATAGATACGCGCATAAGCACATTTACACGTAAAACAGTAATATATCCGGCCATGTGCATAGTAACGTCTGGTCTGTCACAAGTTGAAAGAGTTTTCTCTATTATTATAATTGTATTGTTCGGTTGCCTGGTCTATTTCTGAAGCTTGATTCTTCTTTTTCATTAATTTAAATCTCTATCTGTCCTATTATCATAAACTTTAATTTCTTCAATCTGTCAGTCTGAGTACTTTTCGACACGTTATTTGCTAAGAAAAAGTTATATATGGTGGATTATTCAAATTTGGAATCACTGCTCTCTATATGAACAAGTGGAAATCTATCATTCAGGTAGAGATGAAGATTTTCCAACAATCTGCAATTTCCAGGGAAACAACCAGCGAATGACAATAAAAGGACAAGCCACAGGTGAAAATATCCAACAATTTGCATGTTCCGAATGCAATCACATTTATTTATCTTCATCAGTCACATGAAACACGTGAAAGACAATAAGAAGCAGTAGTAGATTACCAGGCTTGTCAGATTAATAACGATCCTACCTACAAACACTGTGGTAAGTCGTGTTCCAGTCAATCTGGACTGATAAGACACTTGAAAAACAGCCGAACCAAGAGACACAAACGTCCCAATTAATGGTTTATATCTACCGTTTGCAAATTTTGCAAATCACTTACTGGCTTTAAGAATCATTGTTGGTATTATATATATATATATATATATATATATATATATATATATAATAATAATTATAAACTGTCAGCATACAGCAGAGATATATATATATATATATATATATATATATATATATATATATATATATATATATATATATATATATATATATATATCTACTGTATCCTGACAGTTTATTATACATACATAAACAAATGTTTTTTTTCTCTCTCTCTCTCTCTCTCTCTCTCTCTCTCTCTCACGCATATATATATATATATATATATATATATATATATATAACCAGTTGTGCCCTGAAAATTCGTTAGGTGAAACCCTGCTAGGTAGTTTCTGGCTCACTAGGTTTTTTATACTTTGCTCTACTTAGTATTTTTTTAATTTACTCGATTGGTGATTTTTTTTTTTTTTACTTTTGGCTAAGCATTGCAGTGTTGGATGATTAATTTTTTCCGACCAACGGGGATGTGTATAGGTTTTTATTTCTTTTTTTTCTGAATTTTTTTCCTGATACCAATTTTTTAAAATATATTTTTATTTGCAAATTGTATTATCCGATTTTCTCCACATCATTCGAGTACAGGTATTAAAATAATACATTATATATATATATATATGTGTGTGTGTGTGTGTGTGTGTGTAATAAACTGTCATCATACATCAGAGGCCTCTTAAAAGTTCATAAGTTTTTGTTTGTTTTTTATTTCCTTCTGTAAGCTTTACTTGTTGCTTTTATTTACCCAGTGTTGTTTCGTCACTGACGGTACTATTTTAATCGAAGTTTAACAAGATACGCAGGTTAAATTTCCCAGTTGCCTTTTTTTATTCCGGATAAGAATCAAAATTTAATTCAGGCAATCACTTCCTTATTCTAAAAATCTGGTGTCGTGGCAAAAATATTATCTGTGGAATGGAAAGTCAAATATTATTTCCCAAGATATTAACAATCGAATCTAATCTTCAAAGACCAACTTCTAAATATAATTGCTTTAACATATTTGAAAGTGGAATTTAAATATGACAACAAACCACCCAATTTTTTAAGTTTTTTGCCGTATTTTGGGGCATATCTTTGCATAAATTTTAGTGCCAAATAAAAATTTAAATAAGTTTAAGATCTTAGAAAATTTTTTGAGAAAGAGAAATTTAATGAATTTGGTGACAATTGTATTAAAAACCAATAAAACTAAATCAAAATTAAAGTCATATTTGAATCCTTACGAAAGACTAAATAGTTTTTTATTTATCTGAATATATAGTAATCCAATGAGTCGATTTATAGTTAAAAAGTCGATATATTTCTTAATACTGCAATAAAAATCATAATTCTATTTTTCGCTGAATCAATATGAAAAATATTGACACAGAATTCGCTTTACTTTTTTTCGTTTGCAAACAAAACGAACGCCCACATAATTGACTCTATAAAATATTTTACATATCGCTTTTGACGTTTTATGCGAGAATATCTAGAGCTAAAGCAGATTATAAAATAATTAAAATACACCAATTTCACAGTTTACTTTTTTTAAAAAAAGGTTTGTTTTTTTGTTTTTTTATTTACACTATTTACATTGTCTTCATCTTTATTTCCATATTCACGACGATTCCGCCGTTGTACGCTCCGACCTTTTTCAAGTGAAATTTAGTCCACGGGGGTAGATTGTTCTAATTCCAAATTTTTAATTTTGGATATTTCAGTATCAGTTAATTCCCTTTAGTAACTCAACTCTCCAAGTTTCTTTTCATTTCTAAATTTGATAGTGATTCAATTTACTCGTAGATAGTGATGAAGTCAATGGGAGCAGCTGATGAGATATTTCAATCATATAACATTTCCCAAAATATCCTAATCTTGAGTTATCAGGTTCCGATAAAATATCTTGTAAAAGTACTGCAATTTTTGAAAAGTTTTGACCAGAAATATGTTGTGTCAAATGTCGATGAAAACAAATACAGTAAAAAGAATTGGCTGACGACAAAACATTTTGAATAAAACCATTTTCCTACTTATTTGAAATATTCCGCTGAAAATTATTACGTTAACAAGAATGGATGCTGAATTTTGATTTCAGCTGAGTTTTTCATCTCTCGAGTTTTCCTCTCGATGTCTACAATTTCAACATTGTCTGAGATGTTTTTAAACTGAATTCTTTAAGATGAAGCACAAAAAATTACCTGAGACTGATTAATGATGTTAGAGAAAATTATTTCCGCATGAACATGAGAGAATGAGTTTTAATATATTATTTGTATTTTATGCTTTATCTTTCAGATGGAGTTTGATGGCCTTACTGGTCGAGTGGCATTTGACAACAGAGGTCACCGCAAAGAGTTCACTCTAGATGTTCTTGATATAGGAATTACTCGCGGCGCAGTCAAGGTAAGATTGGGAATATTTTTGTCTTAATTGATGGATAGCCGCCTTCAAAAGTTTATTGAAATATTGAATATGGGCGACAGATGTCCACCATTAATTACTTACATCCCTCGTCTGGAACCTGTACACCGCATTATGGCATTTCCGGGACGGCCGTTGGTGTATAGCCGGTTCCATAAGCCAGGTGTCCCTACGCAAGGGGAGAATTGTACGACAGATATAAGGACAGAGAACATTCACAGGGAAAGTACAAAAGAAAAACAGTAGGAAATCGAAGTATTCCAATGAGAAAGAGCGATAGTTGAAACGTATTCATGTGTATATCTCCATCTGTGCTTGTCTGAGTGCACGCATGTGAGCATGTATGAATGCCAATATACTCGTTCACTCGTATTGTCTATTGCTTCTCTTTAATGTCTTCATCTATTAAGCAATAAGAGCGGAGTAAAAGGGTTGTATTCGCTTTGAATATTATCTAAAATCCTTCTAAATTAACACATTTTCCTTGCGTTCCGTCCACTCCAACTACAGGTACTTGAATTAAAATCCGAATGAGCTATATCCTTCTACAAATACACACACGTATCTGTTTTATTACCATTATTATTACCAATTTTCTTTGTTGTTTCTTTGTCACTATTGGTGAGAAAAAATTTTCTCTATGATTCGTGTAATATTGAAGTTAACACGCCAAATTTGCTTCCATTAAGTTTTTAAATATGATGCATCGAGAGTAATGTGTGCATCTACATTGAATCCTTCAGTAATTCTAAATTCAGAAAATTACATTTTAAAAGTTTGCGTTATTAAGAAAAAATATTTTTGACATTAACTTTACTTATATATATTTACCATTTCACTATAATTCCATCCTCCCAAAATACGTTTTTCTTTTTTTCTGACCAAAGAACTTCTCTTGGCACGTTTTGCGGTCTTCCAGAAAATTAAAGATTTTGTTTGTTTTTGTCTTTTTCATTAACAGAATTCAGTAAAGACCGGAATAAATGGTAATTCGAAGGTGAAAAATATGATGAATACGGCGGATGGGTAACAATTTTTTGCCTGCAGAAACATGCAGTCGAGCGTTATCCTGGTGGAATATTATGCTTTTTTCTATTAATTCCGAAGGGACATTTTTTATCGAATGCATTCTTCATTTTGTCTAATTGGGGACATTTACTTGTTCGAATCAGTATTTTTAGTAATGACCTCCCTTCCAATCAAACAATATATATAGTATCAACTTTGGGTGTAGACTTTTAGTACGATTAGCTGTTATTAATTTCTCTTGACTCCCTATTCCCTGACTTTCACATATTTGTAAAGTGAATGTCCACCTTTCACAATTTGCTTCAAAAACAGAATATTTTCCTTAAGTAGTGAATTCTATATGAAAAAAACTGTCTAGTATTTTTTATACTTTCATGGATGTCATATATCAAAGCGACCAAACTAGTGCAAATGATTTTCATTGATTTCAATGTAAGTTGTATCCGACATCATATGAAGTTGTTTTATCCAATAATGTTTTAAATTTATCGCGTTCATTCACAATACATTCTTCATAAAGAGCACAAATATTTTTGTTTATGAATTACATTTTACTTTTATTCAAGCGAATAATCAGAATGTGTCCAAAATTTTGCTTAGTTTCTTCTATTTTCGATGTGAAAATCTATAAAACAAAATTAGGGTTTTTTTTCTATTTTTTCCAAATGAAAAATAAATTAAAAATTATGCTGGTTAAAACTAAACACTCCTAATGCCATTGCACAACAAAAACGAAGATAATGTTTGGAGTAAGCTCATATTTCGCTATCAAGCATAAAAAGAATGAAGTTTTGTACAAAATATTTTTTAATTTAATAAAAGAATGTCGGATATGTGTGTCGTTATCAAATTTGCAAGTTTAGAAGATATGAGGCATAAAAAGAGCAATACGTTTATACATTTAGAAATGTATTTATGTGTACAAAAATAACAATAAGAATGTTTGCCATTTCAGATACAAACTCTTACCCAACTATAAATAAACAAAACTAACTTTGGCACAAGATTAGACTCATTAAACACTGAGGAATAAACAACCAGAATTCCCAACCTTTGTTTCTCATTTTTCGTACAACGTTTACCAATTTAATCTTTCTCGACCCTTAATCTCTCAAAATGTGTTTCGTGTATCTTTTCAATAAAATCATTTTAACCAAAAAAAAATTAAAGTTATCAAACCATTTTGATATTGAAAATATAGATTTGAGTTCAGTCCTTAGCATTCATCAGTAGAATGCAGTCATATTTTCTCCATCGGTGAAAAGATTGCCCAGCTTTCACTAACTTATAGAAGATCAGATATTACATAGTAGTTTAGTGCTATTTCATCTTATTCGATCTCTTAATACTTTGCTTAATTTCTGGAAGATATTTTATATTGTTACTTTGCCCTTTTGGATTTCTGTATCACATTTTCCATCGTCTATTACTCCACTATTCCGATCGTTGAATTTCTCTACCTAGTAAAATTGGTTGTTCTCAATACCTTGGGTTGTTTCTTTTCCAGACATCCATAGATTCAGTCTTCTTACAGTTAATAATTCATTTTTTCTTCTTGCTTTCCTTTAGAAACTTGAGTTCTTTCAGTTTTTCTTCTGAGTTCCTATAAACACAGTCATCCGTGTTGTGTTGTTAAGATTGTCCTCCTTATGAGTCCGCTAGTTCTTTTCGGGTTACCTCGCTGTATTAGTTAAATAGATTCGGTGAGAAAACGTATTCTTGTTTTTTCTCCTATTTCTATATTTTTCTGTGTACCACTATTCATCAGCTTAGTCTGATTCAAGGGATATACATGAGGATCGAACTCATTTACACTAGCAATTTGGTTTGAGATGAACGTCCTAATGATTGGGCTATGTTATACAGCAAGGTAAGAATATCACTTCATTCCAAACATGTGTCCAGCCTGCACAGGCACATGACAATCCGATAAAAAAAGGAGAAAGAACAAGTGTGGAAGGAAACACTAAAAGCATTTGTTGGATGCAGCAAATTTGTATACATGAATTCAACTCACTCTCAATAGCTTTCGAAACGAAATCTGTTAGAGTACAGCTACCAGATAGGAATCTTCGGAAGATGCAAATTTATGAAAAAATTAATGAATCTCGAGGCAAGTGATAACATGGAAATGTATCAATTCCCTGCGTTCTCACCGTTGCTAACTTCTTTAGAAAAAAAAACGCTTTTCTCGCTTCCTACCACTTGAGAAAAAGTTATAAAAGATCAGAGATGACAAGATTTTATAAATAAAACTAATTGAAGAGCTTAGACTCTCTTCGATTGCAAAATTTATTCAGTGTTCGCATGAGATTTTTTTCTCATTTCGGAAAGGACGCAGGGTTAAATAGTGAACATATTTTCAATATTACTACTACTACTACTACTACTACTATTATCGGTATTATTATCTTTCAGATTGGTTACTGGACCCCGAAGGATGGATTGACTATGCTGAAGCGTAAAATGGTCCGCCCTATTAACGCGCCTAGCTCTGAGAACAGAACAAGAATTGTGACTACTATCCAGGTAATAATAATCCTTAAATATATTTTTATTGGAGTTGATTAACATGAACGATATCGCTTACCTGTTAAGAAAAAAAGTGCAAATTATGTTGCAAAAGAAACAATCACAAAAAATCAATGTTAATGTTTCTGCTTTGATAATCTTAAGTTGCAAAAAAATTCAGAATCATTTAATCTTTCCAAATATGGCAGTTTTTCAACATTATTCAAGATTCAATATGGCTCGTTTCTTGGTAGAATTTGATAATATCTAACAGAAATATAGAAAATTCTTCATTTTTTTTTTTTAAACAAGTCTCAATAAAATGCCATTCTTCCGGAAATATAATCGACTTCGAGGTTAGAAATTAAAATCTTCAATAACCGTACGTATTGATAATAGCTTTTCAGCTGATATTCAGGCCAGGGTGAAATCCAGGCTTCGAATTCCAGTTTTAGAAGTGACATATATTAAAGTTTGACACTATAAAACATTTTAATATTCACTATGTTTGCTGGCCCTAAGCCGAAGTAATTAACCTGAAACAAATTCATTGCTGACTTGTCGATGCTGGATATTTTCTGATTGTTTTTCTTGTTTCATGTAAATTGTTCATGCCTGAATAAAAATTGTGACCTTAAGCAGTATACAAAAAGGTTTCTCGTTATATGCATATAAAATTGGGATTAATTTCTTATTTACAAAGTTTTCTATCCGTTCAAATTAATATTGGCTATTACAGTATGATTTACAGCTAAAAAATATTTTGTATGTAAATTTTCACGGTAGATATAAAAATAGTTACAAGTGTTTAGCCACCGTTCAACTGGTGGCTGGGTATTAAGGCATTTTTCTCTACTACTGTTCAATCGGTGGCTTGGCATTACGTCATTTTTCTCTACCACTGGTAAAGCTGTCTTCAGAACTCAAAGGGTTTAGTTATAATTACTAAGAAGAGTTGGATCTTATGTATATTCAAATCTAACTGCAAAATCTGAATAACATTTTGCAACTGCTACATTTTTTAAGTCGTGGAACTCCATTTTGATACATGTTCATGATAATTAATGAAACAAGAGCAAGTATATTTTTTCAAATGGTGCCTTAATATTTCATTTATGTTTCCACACTGTGGAAACCTAAAGTTATGAATCTATTAAGATGTACACAAATTAACACAGCAGTGAGTAGAGGGTTATAAATTCTTTGCGTGATTCGATCCCACGTTCGTTTTCGGCATCAAGGAAGGCTCGTAAACAACAAACTGATTTACTATTTAACTACGAGAACTGATCCATAACACACTAAACATATTAGTAAGCATAAATTTATTGACCGTTTAGAATATTTGCTTAAGAACTGAATTAAAAGACACGGCACGAGACCGGACTACAAGGAGTTAATGTTACTTGTCGTTTGTAACAGAACTACACAATTATTCGATTCATATTCGATGTTGGCGTTTCATGTTTAAATGATTTCTAATTTCATTATATTTCTGGTTAAGATCAATTTGCCACAACGCCTACATTTGCATTCATGTTTAATGCTGCTTATAAGGAATAGGCGTGTCATCTAGAATTGAGTTTCTTGTGAAGTTCAACGAATCTAATCACACAGCGGCACAGAATGTGCTTCCGTCTTAAACGAAATGGAAATTACCACTTCGTGTATTAAGACCAGCGAGTAGCTATGTATGCCTCAAACCAAATCAATAATATATTTAGACAAACAGCGTTCGCCCTCAAGTTGGAAAATGAAGTTCATTTCTTACGTCTGTAGTGTGATTTAATGTAACAGTTTTATAAGAAAAAGTTAACATAACGTCCATCATTGAACCAACTGACTGGAAAAGATTTGGTAATTGCAAGACAACCACAAATAATAAGTAAAAGATTTCGTATTTAATACAGAAAGACAGATTAATTTAAAAAAATAGAACAAGAAAAATGTTATTAACCAAAAAGAATCTAAAATCTGTTTGGATTAAGATTTTTATTAGTAAAAATTTTGTTAATGACTATAATGTTGGAACAGATTCTCTGCTCTGACTTCATGTGGAATGTGAAATATTCACTTTGAGTTTCCATTCACATCTATAGATCGGACATGAATGCGAAAGGAAACGCAAAGTTAATATTTACGTTAACCGTGAGTTTCTTAACAAAATTATGTAGAAAATTCCAACAATCTTAAAAGAAATGAATTCAACACATGGATTTTATATATTTTTATATACAGAACCATGTGTAACATAATTCAGAAAAGGAGAGAAAAATCCTGTCTTCAACAAACTATTAAACTTCTTTAATATGTGTAAGAAAATGACTGAGAATGCGTGTGTATGCATATGTGCGTGTGATAAGTTGTAGTAAAGATATTATTGTATGAGGATTTTAAAAAAGAACGGGAGTTTAATGATAGCAATCTATCCGATGTGACACGTGGCTCGGATACACATCTTGTCACTACGGCATATACGGAGTAAAAAATAGAAGAGAGAAGGGTTGTATCTTTTCCTTTTATACTACTTTATACAACGTGCCACCTAGCGAGCGTTAGACATTCTCTGACGGACCAGGTGGGACAATCCTACCGATGACTTTTATCCAATATACTCTATAATATACAATATTACCCTAAGAACATTCTGGTTCCTCATATCTCTACAATTAGAATACAAAATTGCGGTAAAAGCAACAAAATATGAAAGAAACTAATTAAACAACTAATAATAACATTATCAAAGAATAATATTATCAAATTATTACAAATTATTTTGTCAAAAAGGTTATTCAAATATAAATTCTATTATTCTAACGGATTAGGATTTATCAAGAAAAGGCAAAATAAATAAGCCTAAGAGACAAATCATGACAAAGTGCCAAATCGCACTTGAGCTGATAGCAAATAAAACCAATATAATTTCATATATTTTATTTTCTTATCTGTAGAAGGTTGCTTATCGATTTATTTTCAATAACATACCATACTTCCCGCTATATAATAGGCATAAGTTTGCTATGCGTATTATATACCACGAAAATCATGGCATGGGGATTGTGTTAACTGGATCGAGATTTCGTGTCTTTTGAATTAATTTGAGGAAACGGTTAACAGCATTTATTTTTATCTGGCATTTATCTCATGTATATACCTTTCTTCTTTTTTTCATCTTTTTCATTACAGACTCCTCCTTACATAATGAAGAAACCAAAGCCGATAAATGGTCACCCTCTTATAGGTAATGACAAGTACGAAGGATATTGTGTTGACCTTGCCCGAAAGGTTGCGCATGAAGTTGGCTTTGACTACGTGTTCCAGATGGTAAAAGATGGCGCCTACGGTTCGAAACTTCCCAATGATTCGTGGAATGGTATGGTAGGAGAACTAATAAGGCTGGTACGTCACATAGAATTACTTCATCTTATCGGGGTTCTTTTTATGCAAGTCACTCCTTTTTTATATTCACAATAAACAAGATCTGAATTTGTCAACAATATCAACTAAATCAAAAATTCTTTTAAGTCAAGTTTTTAGAAATACAACTTTGTGACAATCTTTCCTTTTGATGATGAAAAACTTTGTTTATCTTTTTATACGATTAATATAAAACTTTTGAAAAATTTACAAATTACAAATTTGAAAACTGATATTTCTGTTCGCAATTCTAATTTTCTCAAAATTCGAATTAGTAGTGTTTATGAAGTTAGGATTTAAAACGTGTTTGTATAATTTCAGTGTGTATGCGTCTAAAAAGAAAAAACTTTCCATCGTAAAAAATATATTCCTTTTATAGAATATTTAATTCTATATTTATGTTTCATCATTAACAAGAGTCCTTCATAAAGCATATTATTTTGCGAAAGGTTTTGTCTCTCAATATCACTACCAAACAAATATTTGAGAAATTTTCCTAGCAATTTCTTTATCAAGAAATCGACACGTTTTTCTCATAAAAATTGTTGATTTAAAAATGTATCGTCCTTTATCAAGAATAATGATAGTTAAAACGAATAACAAATGATGACAACTTATCCTGATCTTCAAAATCATGACAATTTCAAATTTGAAGTCTAACAATACCTAGTGCCTGCGGATGATTTTTGAAATGGAAAACATTTAATATATCTGGATTATGAAACCTTTCAAATGTAACCTTGTAACCGATGATACGATATAAAAAAGTAATTCAATTTTAATGAAGAAAGGTTAAGTGAGATTACAATCTATAATTAGTCCGTTCATTTAGGAACGATTTTTTAATCGTTCCCAGAATGAAAATGCCAAACATGACCTTTGTTCAAATAAACATTAATTTAATACAGTTACTCTTGCTTTTGTCATGCAATGATTAGAATATCATTGATTAGCTTTGAAGTCAGAATAGATATGCTAAAAAGGTGATCAAAGATCAATGATGACTTTTTCATCCTTCTGCATATGTATGTTTGATTTGTTTGAATTTTCACGAGTAATCGATGTTCACTGCAAAAGACCCGCCCAACAGATCGAAAGGCTTGTAATTCTGTTATTTAGTCAATATCTAACGATCGCTGTTAACCAACTTTCCATTAAGTTTTTACCAAATAAAAACTTTTGAAATTTGAGGCGCACTATTTAAAAAAAAAAGTTAATTTGAAGCTAACTGCAAATTTATGAAAGATTTTAAGTTGATTTCATATTTTTATATGCCGTGTTTAAAATCAAATAAAATAGATATGTACAACTTTTAATTAACTTTTATCAAGTATTCTAACTAAAAAGAAATTAGACTATGGCATTCCTTTTTGAATGAAGAAAAGTTGTTAGAAATTATTGAAGGAAGGGTATTGTGTAAATACGATTTAGTTCTGTGAAAAGAAAACTTCAAACAGATACTACACTGACACCTAAGACACAATTTTTTATTTAGTGCCTGTGACATTTTAAAAGTTAGCAAAACTTTAAGAGAATTTTTCTTCGTCCCTATGCCTATGTATGCAAATGTCTTGTGCATTCGAAAAAAAATGAAATCCCTTAAATCAAACGGAAAGAAAAGTATAGTTTGTTTCGTGAATCTATATTTCAGACTAAAATCCAATGATAAACAAAACTTACAATGCAGAAATCAATTAAAATCTATATTTTCTAAAAATATTTTGCGGTATGTATGTATCTATCGATCTGAACGCTTTTAATGATCATGTAAAAACAATTAGTAGATATCAGATTATATGTGTGTATTTTATTTCCTTTAAAAGTACTAAATATTTTAAAATATACTGCATGATTTATTTTCATAACATTATGAAAACGACTCATATATCAGTTTTCTTTTCATCGATGATTTTAGACAGATAATCTAGAAAATCATTTCAATTCTTCTTTCTCCCTTTTTCCAGGAGGCGGACATGGCCATTGCCCCACTGACGATCTCGGCTGTGCGGGAGAGGGTCATTGATTTCTCCAAACCCTTTATGAGCCTGGGAATCAGTATTATGATCAAAAACCGGCGGACCAGAAAGCTCACGTGTTCTCGTTCCTCGACCCGTTATCCTACGAGATCTGGATGTGCATCTTGTTTGCCTTCATTGGAGTCAGCGTGGTCTTGTTTTTGGTCAGTCGCTTCAGCCCTAACGAGTGGCATGTGGAAGATGAGTCGAATATTACGAATGATTTTACCATTTCCAACAGCCTCTGGTTTTCGCTGGGCGCCTTCATGCAACAAGGATGTGATTTCTCACCTAAGTACGTTTAACTCTATCACATACTTTTCTGTCCAAATTTCACCGTTTTCTTATTACTTTAGATGTGGGTAAAATCCACAATTTTACTTATTTAGTCCGTTTCAGCCTTTTTAGCAAAAGATATGGACAACTTCTCTTTTAACATTATACAATAAGAATCTTCAACTAACTTTCGTTTATATCTGTTAGATCTCTAGTCATATATCGATTCGTGTACCAGTGAAAATAACCACTCGCCTTACGACATCAAACTAACCAAAATTGTTATGCAAACATGCACAAAATTAATGATGTTTATTGCCATAATAAGGAAATGTTTATAAATCTCGTATCGTATGCAACCAATTTATATTTGGAGAAAGAAAAATATTCTAAAATAATAAGCTTATAAAATTAGATTAGTTTTAGATTGGTTTCTCTTCAAATAAAGAAAGAGACAATTTTGTATAGACAAGCTAGAAATCAAAAGCTGTTTCTATCTAAATAAATCAGTCTATAACAAATGATAGAAATAAAACTGAGAAAAAATTATTTGTGTACTTACTAAAATTATGAGTGAAATCATAATACACAGTAACTGGAAAGAAATGCAGATCTTTAAAACGAAGTGCAGATCTTTAAAACGAAGTGCTGAAGTTGAAATTATCAAATCTCATTGTGACCACTTTGCAGGCCCAAATTTCCCATTCACTGAACCTCGCTTTTATTAGAATGCATTAAACAGCGTCAACACGGCCATTTGTTGTATAATGAAGACAGGATCAGTGACTTAACTTCATAAGAATAATGAACAGTTTGACATATTTAATTCAAGGTTATGTCCTAAATGAGTTACAAATTAAATTTAATACATGAAGGACCATATTCGAGCCTGAAGCTAAATAAATATTTCGTATTGATAAATACGATCCTAAAATCAATAGATCTATTTATTGTTATTTTATTATTGATAAAGTTTCTTTGATTTCGTCAAAAAATGCCATATACCTCATGACATGATTACATTTTAACGGTGGTTTTTATGATAATTTTTTTCTCAGATTCGAAAATGACATTAAAAATCTAAGTTCATTTATTGCAATGAAAAGTAATATAAAACAAAAAGTTTCATACTTAAACTCTCTCTCCATACCTGAAACGCACGCACAAAATGGCTGATACGTTGATTCAGTGACTGAATAATTCGTTAATCCTTAAAGTAAACAATTAGGCAATAAATTAATTAGTTATATAATTTAAAGAATTAACTTTTTAACTTTTTATCTAATATAATTGCTTTGTCACTTTTATAAGATTAGTTTTAGATTGGTTTCTCTTCAAATAAAGAAAACCTTTCCTTTTTTCCAATGACGAAATTGAGCAATTACTTAAATAAAATTAATTTTACATGATTAATTCAAAAATCGATCAATACATTTGTTTTTAAAAAGGAATATATAGTCGGGATTGATCCATGATTCATTCACCAATCTGTACGTGAATTACATAACTTGCTTTTTTGCTACAGAATATTAAAATGGGTGGAGTTATGGACAGTAATACTTTCATCACTAGATTTTGACTAATTTAAATTAAATGTATAGATTAAAATTCTGTTTGGTTTGTTAAAGTTTGAAGAATTATCGTTATAATATTTTTACAGAGTTCTTCAATAGTATTGGAATCTGGTTAATTCATTAATTATTCCAACAAATCGATTGGCTAGTTTTCATTTACTTGTTGAGTATTTCATTAATCCCTAATTAACTCATCGTTTAATTTATGAACTAATACATTGATTTCAGATCGATTTCTGGACGTATAGTCGGAAGCGTGTGGTGGTTCTTCACTTTGATTATTATTTCGTCTTACACTGCCAACCTGGCCGCTTTCCTCACCGTGGAAAGGATGTCCACTCCAATTGAATCCGCTGAGGATCTTGCCAAACAGACGGAAATCGAATATGGAACTTTAAGGTCAGGCACAACAGAGGCTTTCTTTAAGGTCAGTAAATAAACAAAATGAAACAATTTTTTGACAAATTTTATACTTAATTTCTTGTCATTCCATCAATATTGTCCCTGGATATAAGTAGGCATATTAGAAGACTTACTAACTTTCTCAAAATAATAAGAATTAAATATTTAAAGAATTTCCGCTGCAATCATATTTTGAAGGAAGCATTCGAAGCCATATTAGAGTAAGTGGGGAGAGGTTACCTGAAATGTTGGTAGACTGTTACGGTTCTTTTTCAAATTAGATAAACATGATTAAAAACCGGTTTCATAAGAACAATGCTTCTTCATTTTTTTTTACCTTTAACAATAAAATCCAGTCTATTTGTTTCGAAGAAAATTATTTCGGGTTTTTACAAAATATTATCAGAAATTATCATTTTCTTTATTTCATAATTAACTTCTCGGTACTTTTAGATAAATGTTCAAATTATTATTATTATTGCTGATGCATTCATAACAATGATTGATAGCAATCAACATAGTGAAAACCTTCCTCCCAAATATTAGAATTTCTCTTAAAGTACACAGGTGTAACAAGCATGCATATGCTTTCATTTGAGCGATAAATCTTAAAAACGACATAAAAATCTATATCCGTTTTTTTCTTTTCTACTTGCAACTCGGGATAATAACCATTAAGATTTGAAGCACTTCAAACTCTGGGCACTAACACCATTGGTAAATGCACGAATCTGTCTCTTCATCTCACGGTGATGAGTTAAATAACAGGGTAGAGTAGATTCTTTATTCAGTCTAAGGTAAGAAAAATCTAAATTATAAACTGTGGACTCTCTTTCCCAAGAATGCAAAGCAATTCGCACATAATAAAGAAAATTGATCTGTGACGGAACGTAGGCATTTAAAAAAAATTAAATATCCTGTAAGGAAATTACATCCAAGACAACTTGTCGGGGATATTATATCCACGGCCCTAAATTCAATAATTTCGAAATATGGATCTTACATAACGAATTTAAAGTTAACTCTGGATTTTCTTATCAGTACTTTCTAGTACTAAACTCAAAATATGTCGATTTTCACAAATCTTCGTAGACACAAATATGAGGAGGTTTTCATTTGTAAAATATTTGAGTGACTAAAAGATTGACCGCGAAAAACTCCCGTGTCTCTGTCTCCTTTTGCAATTGTTTGGTAATTTCTGATACTCATCGACCGGTGCCTATCTTGCCCACATCAAAAGCGCTCATAACAAAGGCTGCTTCCCTCTGCCATCGGAAACACATGCTGTGCGTTTTACTGTTTATCCTAACACTGGTCGATCCGTGGTAACAGCAAATTTAGCAAAAGTTATGATCATCAGCTGACATTTCAACTCCTAATTCTTGAAGATTCAAGACTACATTTTACTAATAAGTACAGATAATCTACTGTAAAAGTAAAGTAGAAATGGAAATAAATTAACAATAATTATATTTATATTTAATCAAATTAAGCTGGGATGAGGTTTTTCTGATTTAGATATTATCAGTTTTCTAATAGGAAACCGATCTATGCTCGAACTCTCTGCTAATCCAGTTTGCTTCGTGCAGGTGCAGTCTGTAAAAAGAATTGATTATTTTCGTATTGAAAAAATATATTGAATATTAAACAAGATAACAAAGCGTTTTCTACAAAAAATATATTCTCGCTATTCTCTTTCTCTGGTATTTATGAAAACAAAATCTATCAATTGTTCTAATAAGAGATAAAATGACTGAGCTGATAATACACACACGCACGCACTTTTTCACGGATTAATTTGTACATTTTAGTATTGAAGGTGTATGGGAATTGTACACACTTCATGTTAGTTACTGTTAAGCTTCCGAACTGACATCAGTCGTTATTGTTGAATGAAATTCAAAGTCTGTTTTTGAAACTTTCCGTTAATTTTCACTGTTAGGTTTTGTCATATATTGGGTATTAAAACTTTGCAGTGTCGCACGATTGTCATTTAGTGGAAATTCGTAAATATTTAAAATCCCTTTCAAAATACCTGTTCTAGAAACATCACTGATTTGGTTGCTTGTTGGTTTTTAATGGATAACTTTGTAATCTTTGTTTAAAAACAAATAAAAGTAATGTTGTCCTTACCTTGAAATACTATTATATTTTAACCCTTAACTTTCTTGTAAACGTGTCCTCAAAGAGGCCATATCTTTGCTTGTTGATAGAATGAGACATTATATAAGTTCTAACTATTGCTTCTCGTGACTACTAGTGACTCTGTAATAATGTGTTAAATAAGAGTAAGTCTTCTATCACTCCTCACTTCACTCAATTTAAGATGTTAACTTCTACTGATAAAGCAGAATGGTTTGCTCTTAAATTCTCTTCAAATTCTACTCTTGACTCATCTGGAGCAACTTTATCTGACTTTCTACTTAGAACAGATTCTCTATTGAGTGATATGCATATAACACCGTCTATACTATCTGCTATTATCTTTGAACTGGATCTACACAAAGCATAGTATCCTTCAATAGAATGTGTTCCTCGACTGTTTTCTGTTCTCTCTGAACTCTGCAATAAATACCTTGCTGCTTCTTGCTTTCGTGCTTGTTGGAAATTCTCTTCTGTATTCCAGTATTTAAGAACTCAGACGAACCATCTGATCGGCGTACTAGTCTTTTACCTCATTTTAACAAAGTAATCTAATCAACTACTAATTGGTTAAGCATCTCACCTCACAGATAAGCAAAATGGCTTTTCGCTATTGTAGGTAAACTGCTGATATATTATTACTGAAAGTCTATCAAGTTTTAGATAAAAATTGAAAAGATCAGAATGTTGCTTTTGGATATCTCAAAGGCATTTAACGGGTTTTGACATACTGGTCTTCTTCACAAATTGAAAAGTTATATTTCTGAACAATTTTTTAAACTGATTCAGTTTTTCTTATCAAATCGTGAAATGAAAGTTGTTTTGAGTTGTCATCTTTCTAAATCTTTTTACATTAATGCAAGTGTCTCCCATGGCTTTTATCCTTGAACCCTAGTTGTTCCTAATTTTTACAATGATCTTCTTGATATCATCAGTTCTCAACTAGGTATCTATACTTATGACACAACTATTTACTCCTAATTCAATAGTAAGTCTGATCGTTTTGATAAGGTCAAATTGGCAGCTGATCTAAACTATGACCTACTATCTCTTAACTGGAGCATGGAATGACTTATTTAACGCTACCAAAATGAAACTACTCTCCTTTAATCGTCTGAAGGAATCCTTTTTGACTTCCAGTCGTATAACTGATGCTAACCTCCAAGAGAATGACTCATTGCGTCTTCTCGAACTAACGTTTTCTGGTGAAATGAAGTGGAAAGAATTTATTGAATCAATTGCTGGAACTATTGCTAAGAAAGTTGGTTCCTTGTGTCGTGCTAGACAATTTTTCTCGCCAGAATCTATCTTACATATTTATAAGTCTACCATTCGTCCTTACTTTGAATATTACTGCCACTTCTGGTCTGATGCTCCTGCTATATATTTAGAGATTCTTGAAAAAATCCAAAGAAAAATCTGCAATATTATTGGTCCTGACCTAGCTTCTCGGCTTCAGTCCCTTCCCCACCGTCGTAATATAGCTTCCTTGTGTTTTTTCTATAAATATTTTATGATAATTGTTCTGATCAATTTTACTCCTTGGTACCTAGACTTTATGAATTTAAGCGCAGTACTAGATTGTCGAGAAGGTCTCATCAATTTTCAGTTGAAATGGTTGGATGTAACCGTAAGTTCTATGCTAATAGTTTCTTCTGTCAAACTTGTCACTCGTGGAAGTCTCTTCCGGTTTCTTGCTTCCGAGTCAACTTTTATCTTTCTAACATTTAAATGCAATGACACTCGGTATCCTCTGTCTTAATTATTGTTCTTAAGTGTTTCTCTCGTATTTTCTAACATTCAGTACCCCCCCCTTGCGTCTTAGTGGCTTTATTGTCTTACTTGCGGTGAAATAATAAAAAAAGACGTCCTTGTCTATTCACTGTATTAATTTTGTTACTTCTCTACATAAAAAATAACTCTTGCTTTAATTACAAAAATGAATGTCTTCACTGCTATAAAATATCCCTAATGAAAAATGTAATTAATAGAGCATAATTAATCTTGTTTTATAAAATTATTTTATACAGTAATATTTTTATAATACCAAATAAATGATGAGCTATAGTTCACCATTTATTTTATCGTAATCGGATGCAATCAAACTACAAACAAGATGATACAGCTATGAAAAAAAAAAACAAAGAAACAATCCATAGATGCATGAACCCTCTTTCTTTGTATATAATGTAATAATATACAAGAAAAAAAAAATAAAAACAAATTTTAAACAACGTTAAACAACCAACAATCAACAAAATCATTTATGGTTCTGGAATAGGCATTCTGTAATTTATTTAATTAGAATCCATTGCTACATCATAGCCGTGTAACACCACAAAGTTTTAAAACTCAAATTATCAAAAAATATTCAAAATTTAAAAGTCAAAATCATCCCAAAGATTCAAACTATCATGTAACGAATTTTGAATTTTATTTAATTTCTTTAATTCTTGATAAGAACTGAAGCTAGTCGAAAGTCTGAAACCTTAATATGAAATATGGACAATTCCCATAGACTTGTACATCCAGGATACGGTAGTTAATCCGTCAAGAAGAAAAATGAATCAGAAAATATAATAGATATAGCTTGTCTGTTAACTTCAATAAAACTTATTTAGTTTGGTTTGGTTTGGTTTGGTTTATTTTACGGCATATCAACCTCAATGGGTCATTTAATGCCGACAACATTTTTTTACCTGGTAATATTTTTGTTTTGTCAAAAATCCATTTCTGTTAATATTTTTTTTCTCAAAAATGTATAGCTGGTAATATTATTTTTCAAAAAAGTATAGCTGGTAATATTATTTTTTCAAAAACGTATTATCAGAGTCCTTGCTGTTGGACGTAGTTTATTGTCTTACTCAGGACGCGGATGTAGTTTATCGTCATACCCAAGACGTGGCTGTAATTTATCGTCATACCCAGAAAGCGGATGTAGTTTATCGTCATACCCAGGACGCGAATGTAATCTAAGTGTTAACTATTTGCCCATAGCTGGGACCCTAACAGGTGCTACCACCCCGGGTCAGGTTGGATCTGGGAACACCAGCAATTAAGAGGTGGTTCCACGCCCCTCAAAACCTCCTGATCAGAGGCCTTGCTGCTGGACGTAGTTTATCGTCTTACCCAGAACACGGATGCAGTTTAGCATCATACTCAGGACGCAAAACTTATTTGAATCCACATTTGTTGCCTTGTTACACCCAGTATAGATATATACTCATTTATCTAATAATTGAATTCTGGTTTCCGGGACTAAAATGCCAGTTAAAAGATCCCCCCACCAAAAAAAAAGAAATCTAAGTTTACAGGAATAAGTTCGCTACAAAAAGGAATAAGCAAATATGGTGAATGTAGATTATGTCTATCGATGCTCGTCAGAATATAAGTTTAATTCGAAAATACAGTCGCATAAAAAATGCTTATAACTTATTAACTATAACCGATTATATATATCGATTTAAATACAAGAGTTCACTATAAGTAGTATGATATAATTTCATTTATGTAAATTATATAAAACTTTTCCTTATTGGGACATGATATGACTGAAGTCATAAAGCCAGTCATAGATGTATGGCTGTCGAGATGGTATCTTGTCCTTCCAGAAAAATGACTTGATAAGAAATATGACAAACCTTAAATCCCAAATTACTCAGTGTTTACTCACAACAAACAGTAAATCTCAAAAGTAGCTATATTACAACGTAAGGTTTTATTACTTATGTACATTTTTTACACCTCTTTATTATCGTCAAGCCTACAAGTGAAATGATAAAAGGAAAAAGGGTCATGCAATGGGTTTCATATATGAAATGCAATTTATGTTGTGACACATTTTTTTTGTAGTTATTTACAAATAGTACTGCAAATAATATTATAATGGAGAATGGAAAATAATATTGTGTTATTTTAGTTCATTCATCTGCCTCTTTTCTGGCTTTCTTTGCTTCAACAGACTTCTAAGGTAGCGGTCTATGAGCGAATGTGGGCTTATATGACATCAAAAACACCCAGCGTCTTTACGGATAAAATCCAAGACGGCATTTCTAGAGTTCGCGAGTCTAACGGAAAGTACGCTTTTCTCGTCGAATCTTCTACCAATGATTACATCAACAACCGTTTACCCTGTGATACTATGAAAGTCGGATCAAATCTCGACTCAAAGGGCTTCGGCATTGCTACACCTGCCGGCTCCGACTTAGGGTAAGGAATTTTATTTTATTTTTCCACTCTGTAATGCAATATAAATATTGGGAGGAAATTAAAATGAAATTATGAAATTTCACTTTAATTTCCTCCCAATATTTATAGACATTTTTTGTTTTCGCTCAGAAATAATTGCTCTAATTCAGCTACATGTAACTATTTTAAAAGAGTGTAATTCATATTAGATGACACTAAATGATCTCTCGTCTTTTAAACACGATAAAGAAAGAAGATGAGAACAAATCTATACAAAACCTCATGCAAAAAAAAAGCTGCAAGGCTTTTGCTTTTTAAATGTTAAAACTATTCGAATGTCTCAAAGCTAAAAAATCAATACAACTGATACTTATAAGAATTTCGGATTTTTTTTTTCCACAATGTTTAATTTTACACATGCCTCACTGCTGTATTTTATTGTACTATGAATAAACAATTTTTAAGAACGTTAAGAGAAAAAGAAAATATCAATAACTCTACGGGTTGCTCTTGGAAATGGTATACGCTTACTCTTCTTCCTGTGTTCGTATTACCGCCAGCTATCTTGACAATCTCTTGTTACTGACATGTCACAACATTTGACAGAATAAAGATTGAAGGCTGTTAGCTCTATAATCAATTTTGACAACGGCCAATAATTAATCAATTTAGGTTTCAGACTGCCTTTTCTTCCACACGACCATTTTCTGCTGCCAATATTCAGTGAATCAAAATGCTAAAAAGTCATTTTCTTAAATATTTGTGTTTTTTTGTTTGTTTTTTTTGTCAATCTGAATTTTTGATTTCTTTTCATATTTACATTGCAAAATCAGTTATTTTATTTTTCTTCCTTTGATCTTACATTCGTTTTTGAATTTTATGACTTGCAGAGATAAGCTCACACTTGCTGTTCTCAAGTTACGCGAAGACGGAGAATTAGATAAGCTGCAAAAATTCTGGTGGGTGGAGAAAGGTCAGTGTACGCCACAGGACAAGAATACTGTAAGTAAACTTAAGATTTCTCCCCCCCACCCCCACTCCACCAACCCTCTTTTCTTTACTTGTCACTCTAGATGTCTAATTTACAATTTTTAAACGCTCTTGATAGATAGCATTTGATCATACATTAGGACAATCTATCAATTATTCCTGCAAGCATTATTCCCTCAGCATTATTCAAAAATAGTAGGGTTTGTTTTTTGTTTTGTTTTTTTTTTTGTTTTGTTTTGGGGTTTTTTTTTGTTTTGTTTTGGGGTTTTTTTTCACCCCCAAGGAAATCAATAAAGACACTAAGGCAAAAGGGGTTAATAAACGTGAGATAAAAAAAAGAAAACCATTATTAAAGATAGAACAATAAAAGAAGAATTAAGATAGAATATAACTATTGACATTGCATTTAAATTTTTGAACATGAAAGTTGAGTGGAAAGCAAGAAGCGGAAGAGAATTCCACAAGTAGCCGAGAAGAAACTGTCAGCATAAAACTTACGGTTACATATAGAAAATCCAACTGTAAAATGATCAGACCTCGCTGCCCATCTAGTACTACACTTAAATTTGTAAATCGAGGTACCAAAGAGGTAAGTTCATCAGAACAACTGTCATGAAAATATCTATAGAAAAGGTACAAGGAATTACGTTACCGTGGTGGGAAAAAGACTGAAGCTAAGATAGCAACTCAGAACCAATAACATTGCAGATTCTTCTTTGTAATTTTATCAAGAATCTTTAAATACAGAGAAGCACCAGACATCAATATTCAATGAATGGGTGAATGTTAGACTTATAAGTGTGTAAGATAGATTCTAGCAAGAAAAATTACCTAGTGAAATTGCCACAATGAACAAACATTCGTAGCAGCAGACCTAGCAATTGATTCAATATAATCTTTCTACTTCATGTCAGCGGAAAACATTAGCTCGAGAATGCACAATTAGTCGCCCTTCTGGAGGTTAACATCAACCATGCTAATGGAAGGTTAAAAAAAAAGTTCTTTAAGACGATTAAGAGTTTCGTTTTGGAGGCGTTGAAAAACAAACCATTTCTTTCTCCAGAACAACAAATTAACTTCCTTCCAGAACAGCTCCCTTCATGACCGAATGGATTCTTTTCAGGAATGGAAAGTTTTATCAATAGAGACTGAATATTCAGTCTTGATTCATGCCTGAATATGCTACTGTTAGCTCCCTGTAACAACTACTACCATCTCTACCAGATGGAATGGTATAACAGAACTCTTATCTGCCCGCAAGCAGTGAAAGAGTTCTGGAAAATACAAATAGCAGTTATGCACAAGCAGTCCACCAGTTCTGAAAAATTGCAAATATGATTCTCCATAGGATCATACGATCGGTGCCTTTTGCTATAAATCATTCTGAGATTATCTTTCCCTCGTCATTTGTGATATCTCTCGAGAAGTTTCCAGATTTATCAAAACCTTGATTCTACGAAGGCTAATTGGTTTGGATAAAATTGTTCATTACAAATTCAACCCAATTTTATTGTTTAAAAAGTTGTTTCTCAGATCTATGGAAGGTATCAGCTGCAGATTCTATTTTCAATAATGCGGGTGAGCACTCATCAACATCACACTATCACTGTTATATTAGTCAACAAGAAAATTGTTGATCACCTCAATATCACCTATATATGGACCATCGCTAACGATGCTGAAAAAATGATCGGTTTCTTGTACCTGGCTACACTTGACACAATCTCTTTACGAGTCAAATGATCAAATTGGATTATTGCTAGAATTACCCAATCCTCACTCTTTAGCCTTGATAGGGTTAAAAAGCTTTATCGCAGAAATATTTTCCGCACTACAACAGAAAAAACATTACTAGTGCCTTGATACTCTATCGGTATTTCCATGTCAAATGTTCAGATGTGGTACATTTCTTAGTTCCACTAGTTGATACATTTAACAGCTAGAACCTGCTATGCCACGTCCACAGGCTCGACTTAACCTCCATTCCATTGGTAAGGAGGAAGTTCCACTCAGACAATTTATTCCCCAAAAGTGTCACTTTATGGAACATTCTAGTCAGGGGGACAACCTTTATCTATTCTAAATATCCTCAGATGCATTTCTCATTTCCTCCATTTGCGTCTAATTTCTCCCAAACATTCGTACACTTTAAAAAGTCTAATCTTTTTCTTTACAAATCCATTTCTTACTGTTTGTGTTTCGACCCCTACAGAGTAGAAACTTCCTTGTCCCTACCCTCATTATTATTATTATTATTATTATTATTATTAACTGAGACCATGGAAATATTATGGGCGTTGATTATCTCTTTGCGTGTCTTATCTTCTCTGTATCTTGTCATTCTCTCTCTAATCCCTTCCAATCTCCATTAGCTGTGCATGTCTTTATCAAAATGTTATGCAAAAATGTTTTAGCTTCATATTTAAAAATACGAATAAAACCGCACAAATATTTTCTGCTGTATCTGCTCTCATTTCTTTCCTTTTGATCTATCCATAATGAATTTGAATATAATGTAATTTTTACGCCTTTCCGTCCCTATATGACTTTTTGGTCTTTTGCTTTATATCCCTTGACATACAATCAGTAAATCTTTTTGCCTACATCCCTTCCTCCTCCTTCTCTTCCCCCTCCTCTTCTTGCTATATGCCTATATATTTTTCATTTTACTTGTTTTCTTTCAGTTTTTTTAAACTATTATCTTTCATCTTTACACTATTTGTCTCCCCCTCCACTCGTTCCCCTTTTTTCCAACTTAAAATTTAATAGTATTTTTTGGTTTCCCAACCCGAAAATATAACTGATTTCAGCTTAGAAGAGTTATACAGGTAGAAAAACGTAACGGTCTTACAAAAAAGTAGATTGTTATTATTATTATTATTATTATTATTTTCTTTGATTTCTGGCGTTTACACATTTCTTTCCGGGTCCCGCCCAGGGACCTAAGGTTAGAAATGGCATCATGACACTTTCCACTGACAAAAAAAAAAAATTACATAGATAAAGTCCTTCGTAAAGTGTGGGCTATACTTGTCAGAAAAATTTTTTTGTATCTCCTTGAGGCATGGACTTCCAAGAACCACTTCAATTAGTCTACTGCAATCTTTTCCAACCAGTCCTAGGGCTCCAACTACAACAGGGATTGTTGATGTTCCCATATGCCACATTTTCGAGATTTCTATTTCAAGGTCCTTGTATTTTGACAGCTTTTTGAATATCTTCAAAGATACATTGCAGTCAGCAGGGACTGCCATATCAATAAGGAGGCACCGTTTTTGTTTGTGGTCTTTAATAACAATATCTGGGCGGTTGGCTTTGATTGTTCTGTCAGTATGTATTGTGTAGTCCCATAGAATCGTAACAGATCCTATCTCCGTAACCGGGTCTGGGTGGTGTTCATACCAGTTTCTTTCAGTTTCCTTCCCGTAGAAGTTGCAGATTTTCCAGTGCAGATATTGGCCCACTGTGTCATGTCGGGTTTTATATTCAGTGGGTGCCAACATCGTGCAACCTGATACAAGATGATCAATCGTTTCTGGATATTTATCACAGAATCTGCATTTTGGGCTGACACAATATTTTAGTATATGTGCTTGATAATTCCTAGTTAGCAAGCATTGGTCCTGCGCAGCAAGGATAAAACCTTCAGTTTCCGCTTTCAACCCTGCACTACGTAGCCACTGATGGGTACGGGTTTTGTCTACGTCAGCTTGTTTGGTACGGGCAGAGTATTGGCCATGAAGCGGTTTATCTTGCCATCGCTTCTGTATCTGGCCGGTTGCATTCGTCTTTGCTGTCTTTTTTAAGTATTTTGCAGTTTCAGCCGGTGTATTCTGCTGTAGTTGCATCTCTACGCCCATTTGAAACTCCATTTTGAATTTGTTGGCTTCTTTCATTACGGAGTAAAGACGCTTACTACTTTCATGTTCCTTGACGCATACCATCATCCAGTCTTCTGTAGTTTCCAAGTATCTTTGGAGGCCAATTGTTATAGTTTTGTAGGACAGTTCTAGTTGAACTAATCCTCTGCCTCCTTCAGATCTGGGCACATACAGACGATCAACATCAGCTTTAGGATGATGCATGCGATAGTGAGAAGCTTTCTCGTTTTGGCGTCCATTCGCTTAATTTCAGCTATGGTCCAGTTAAAGACATTAAAGCTGTATTGCACCACAGGGACAGCCAATATGTTTATGGCTGATATTCTGTTTTTTGAGTTTAGCTCAGTATTTAGTACCAGACGTACACGTCTGTAGTACTCTTTTCTTATTTTTTCCTTCATTTGTGGGTGTTGTATGCCATCTCCTTCGCTAATTCCTAGGTACTTATAAGCTTCATCATGCTCCAGTTCCCTAATCTTTGTGACAAAATCTAAATCTATTAGGGGTGTTTCTGTAATTCTACCTTTCTTGAATGTAACTTTTGCACATTTATCTAATCCGAAGTCCATACCTATGTCGTCACTGAAGTATTTTACAATATTGAGGAGGCCTTTCAACTCATTGTCGTCTTTAGCAAAGAGTTTGAGATCATCCATGTAGAGTAGGTGATTGAATATTTTCTTATTTATTTTGTAACCATAGCTACTGTTGTTCAGTTCATGTGTAAGAGGGATTAAGGATAAACAAAACAGAAGGGGTGACAGAGAGTCTCCTTGAAAGATTCCACGTCGGATATTCAGACGGTTGGATATGGCAGTGCCCCCGTTGTGACTAAGGTATAGTTTGGTGTTCCACATTCCCATGCTGTGCTTAAGGAAATTTAATACCACAGAGGAGACTTTGTACATTTCCAAAGTCTTAAGGATCCAAGAATGTGGAACAGTATCAATCCACGCTGCACTTAGATTTCTGCGTCGTCTCCTGCAATTTTCCAGGATCATCTTATTTATCAGAAGTTGATCTTTGCAGCCATATGAACCTCTTCTGCATCCCTTCTGTTCCAGCGGAAGAATGCTGTGTTTCGAAAAAGGAATAAGTACGGTTCGTCAGTACAGACGTGATCAACTTATACGTTGTGGAGAGACATGTTATCGGTCTATAATTTTTCGGGTCGTCTGTTTCAGTTGTTTTTGGTATGAGGTATGTAATACCTTCAGTAATCCATTCCGGGATTTTATTGGGATTATTTACAAGCGTTGATAATGTTTTTGCAAGAATTTCATGGATAGATGAGAGATGATACAGCCAGAAATTGGACAATTTGTCATTTCCTGGGGATTTCCATTTTGAGGATTTCGTTAGAGCTTGCCTAACATCATCTGTGGATATATTTTCCCATTCTTGAAGAGGTATATCCAGCAGTCGTTCTTCTTCACGCCGTATCCATTCTTTATTTGGGTTATATTCCTTTGGGCTGCTCCAAATATTTTCCCAAAATGTCTGTACATTATCAATCGATGCTGGCCTTTCGACATGTATAGATGTTTTTCCAATTTTCCTGTAAAATTTCTTAAGATCTGTTCGGAATATTTTATTTTGGCGATAGAACCTACAACGTTTTTCATATCGTCTTGTTCTCTGCGCCTTTAGCTGAAGTTTCTGCTTCAGCATTTCCTTGATTGATGGAATATCAATTAGGGATTTAATGTTATATTTCCGCTTGATCTTTTTGCATTTACGTGTGGAAATATTAGGGTTTCTGGTGAGCTCATCTCATATAGAAAGCTCACATCTGATTTGTTTTATTTCTCGTATCAGTTTGGTTTTCCAAGCTGGTTCTCTGTGTCTTGACCCCAAGCTTCTGAGTCGCTGCTAAAGCTGTTGCGTATAAGACGTTGTTAACTTCTGTGATGTTTCCCGGTGGTTTATCTGTTAACAGTGTTTCCAGAGCAGCATTGTATGTTTTCACGATTTGCTTGTTGGAATTCGTCATATGGATTTTGGGGAGCTGGTCTCTGTCTGACAATTGTATGAAAGTTACTCTGCTGAGCACTTGGATGACGTCATTTTTCGCTTCGGTGATTTCAGCTTCGTGGTTTTCAAGGAATTCTAACTTATTGTCACTGAAGATGATTCCAGGTGCATTTTCTGGAGAACTGCAGGTTGTGTTTAATGTAAAGTCTTGGGTTTCATTTCCTGGGAGATTATTTCGTATTTCATTCGCTTTAGCGTCCACCTCACCCTGTCGCATTCCTTATTTCGTCTCAATAGAGTTTGAGTGATGGGTCATAGTATTTTGTCTTATATCTAATTTTATCTTATCTATTTCTGCCTTTGAGAGTCTGTTGTTTCGCGTGATGTCCCTACGCACATTGGCAAGCATGTTTGGATTGAGGTTAGGTCTTATATCATTTCCCACCGTACTTCTCCATATTTGGTATGTTTGATTGGTGGTGTTCTTTGCTGAGTTTTCGAGTGCAGTGAAGAAGGATGTCATGACTTGTCGATACTCTTCGCGGCTCCATTTCGTTCGTTTACTTTTTATTAGTCGATTTGGTATTGAGTCACTTGGTCCAATGTTGGCAATAATCCGGGTTTGATGACTTAGTGTCTCTTCGTGTGTGGAAGAGTTTGTTCCAGTGACAGACTTTTCGTCCTCAGACTGGTTCCTCTCTGAGGGACGCGGCCCTTGTTGTCCCGGTTGACGGACGATCCAGTATGAAATATTATTCGTATTCATTGAAATTGGTAGAGATGCGTTTTAACCTTGACCGCCAAGGGGTAATTATGTTCAGGTTACCAGCTTTAGGACGAGTCTCGAAGAAGATCCAAAGAGCACGCCCAAACAATGAGATTCTGGATTTACTAATATATCGAAGGTAGTTCATAATAGTGTATGGTATTCAGTGGGATAGACTATACTAAGTTTTAACTTAGTATAAGTCGGAGTGACCACTCCAAGAGGGATAACCAGATTTTAGTATATAGACTAAAAAAAAAAAAAAAAGAAAAGGCAAAGGAAAGAATTAACTTGAGTCAAAGGATTTAGAATCGTATCAAACTACAGGAAAAGTATCATTCAAAAATGGTACATTTACCATTTCTTACAAGTTCGGGGCCTGGCACAAGTGACTTTCCACAAATGTTCAATTTTCCCTCGCCAATTATTATTATTATTATATCCTTTGATTTCTGTTGTATACTCATTTCCTTCCGGGTCCCAACCAGAGACCTAAGGTCAAAAATGGCTTCATGACATTTTCAATTGATCATTTTTGTAAAAAAAACAAAGAAAAAATTACACACATTTTACATATATAAAACTCTTCGTAATGTGTGAGCTGTTCTTGTGAGTACATTTTTTGTATTTCTTTATGGCATGGGCTCCTCGGAATCCCTTCAATGAGTCTATTGGAGCGACAACTGGATTATTATTGTTGTTGTTGTTGTTGTCGTCATCTGTAAAAAAAATTATCGTTCCACTATCGTTGTTATTCACTCTGATGAATATTAGTTTTGTTGTTGACTAATTAACACCTGACTATTTCAGGATGGTGGCCAAAGCGCCCTTACATTGTCCAACGTGGCTGGCATCTTCTACATCCTTATCGGGGGACTCATTTTAGCCATCATTGTCGCTATCGCCGAATTCCTTTACAAATCTAAAGTAGACAGCAAGAAATCGAAGGTAATTCAATTTTCAAATATATTCCATTCTCTTTGCAGCATTAAAATTTTCAATTTCCTCCTCGTTTTCTTCTTGTAGCTGCAATATTTTCACCAAAAAAAATCAATGTGTCTACGTTAGATAATTCGCTTTGGTCAATTGTTTTCTTATTTAATAAAAAGAAAATGCAATCGCGGGTTTTATGTTGTGTACAGCTATTGCGAAATATTAGCTTTCTGGCATAATTCAACTTAAATTCTCATTAGGAATAATTTTAAATATTTGTTTTTCAGATGAACATTTCACTCCTTCGAAATCGGTGGACATTTCATTTATGTTTAAATTGGATCAAATTTTAGGTTGTCGCCTTTTTCTAATTAATAAATGGACTAAATGTTTTTAATTTTATGAAACGCTTAGCATGTTCAGCTTTCAGTCGGATACAAAACTTAAATGTTGAGGATATTTGAATGAATGAACGATGTTTTTGATTTAGATTTACTTTCATTTTAAATCTGATGAAAATCAAAATAAGATTTGCATGTGGAATGAGATGTGATTTTTATTGACGATTAGCTTTGAGATGATAAAGTATTTTTTGTATTTAAAGTGACTTATAAATTTTGAGTAAATTATCGTTGAACGTTTCAAAAGATGAAAAATTTTATTCTCTTAAAATGAAGTTAAATATTTTCATATCTTAATTACAACTGTCGATTTCTTTCTATTATCGCCCATTACTTTTCAAAATGAAAAACAATGATCCATAAATAATGATTTTATTTCTTTGACCCGAAAGAAATTCAACAAGAATAGAATTATTCTCAATAGGAATTCTTTCTTATGCATTAAGAAACCTATTTTCTTTCATTCTGCCTTCTTTTCTCCTCATCTCAGATGCATAAAAAAAAATCTAAAATGTCAAATACATTTCGGAAAAATCTTGATTAATGATCGCATTAAAAGTGATTTGATAACATCCCAGGATAAGACACCTAGTCAAATCAAATTTAAACTTATATTTTTTTCCTTAGCTACCATAAATTCATTATTTTAGCTCGAAAGCTTAAAATGCTTTGAAATTCTTTGCCAGCAACACTGGATAGTGACAGAAATTAGCGAAATGAGCCAGTAGAGAATAAAATCCTCACTGAACATTTTCTTAGTTTCAAAATGGCTGATCGTTCAAAATGTAAACTCATGATGCTCTGTCACCATTATTCATAGCATTGGGAATATTTCAAGAGATCTGACTTGATCTAAACGTTTGTTTTAATTGAAACCCTTTGTTTCTTGACCAGACATCATTTGGACTTGCCCTGAAATCAAAAGCCAGACTTTCTTTCCGAGGCCATCCTGCTCGGGAAGATAGCAGCTCGGGAACCCCACTCAGAAAGTCCATGTCAACGGTAAGCTGGCTTATTCGATCAGTACTTGGATTGTATCATAACGTGTAAACAATATTTTATATAGAAAAAAAAGGAATTGGTGGCATTAATAATCGTCTACAAGTTATAAGAAGCAAGTATATAAACTACAGATTGAAACTGGATATAAAAAATAAAAGAACACCTTTCGTTTCTTATAAATTTTCTTTGAAGATGGAAGAATATTTCAGTAATATATATGCGGTAATACACAAGTCTGATTTTTTTTACATAGTAATTAAATGCCTTCAATATCTAATAAATGGAAATACTTCAAAATTCACTCTCGTGAAGTTTTCAAATAACAAATCAGATCGATATCTTTTTCTCTGATATCTCTCTTATAATCAAAGTGACTCGATTGATGATCTCAAATTTTCACGTCAAAATTATGTCTTTCATAAATGAGAAATGCGACAAAATATGAGAACAAGTTAAACATTTTTGTATTTTTGCATTAAAACGTTGCCAAGTTTTATTTCAAGTAAATAATAGTGTATACTTAGATGTTTTCTGGAATTTATCGGTTCCTGTTTTTAGATAAGTTTCAGTGCTATCACTAAATTATTAATGCCATCAAATGCTTTTACTGTTTCCACGATATGATACATCTTAGGTACTGGTTGTCTCTTTTATTGCAGCTTGCTTGCATGGATACTTGCTTATGTAGTCTCCTAGTTGTTTGGCTCATTACTATTGTGGTTATTGCTAGAAAATAAGGCTATTTGCTTGAACGTCTAGAGTTGAACAATTACTCGCAGCATGCTTGCTTCCTGCCTTGAGCAATTGTTTCACTGGCCTCTTAACTGCTTAGCTATTCACTTGTCCAGTTAGTTAATCAATTCATAACCATTAGCATGTTTGTTCACTTAATTGCTTGAATAGTTACTAAAATATTTGTCCTAAGCATGCTTGCTTGCTAGCTGAGAGGAATGTCTGATTAGTATTTTATTTTCCATTATGTAGATTTGGTTACTTGTTTTTCAGTTTACTTGAATGAATATTTTATTGGTCAAATAGCTTTTGATTACGTTAATAGTTCATTTCATCGAGTGCTTTCTATTAGCTTCTTTGTTCAAGTGACTGATTCGCTAGAAACTTTAATAATATTGTTTGCCATTACATAACAATATTTGATCTTTTTGAATAATCAGTTGCTAAATTCTAAATTAATTTCTCTTTATATACATGTCTGGTAGCCATATTTGATTTGGTTTAAGCGTATATTTTGTGATTAGAAAAGGCTTCATTTGGAAGGGATCGAGAGACAGAAAATAGCCGATTTCACTACTTACTGATGTTTCACTCAGGAATTAACGAGGCTAAAATTTTCCTGAATTGATTTTCAAAATTTATCTATTCATTTAAATCAGAACTGTCAAATTAATCAACTATTAACGCTTATTAATGTTGTCGATATTTATACCTAAGTTCCTTGTATGAAATCATGTCTTCAGACATGAAACTAATTTCAAAAAACATTTTAAGTAATAAATACTTGACTTCTAAGCACTTTTAAAGTCTAGGATTCTTCATCAGTTATCGAAACTATCTCTACTGGCACCGAAAAAATATCTGAATTGGCAAGAACGGGTGAGACAATGTTGCAGCCGTTCATCGCTCGACCGTAGGAGTCCCGCTAAATTGGCTGGATTCCAGAACGCCATTTATCCTTGAAATCCAAGTAATCTTGAATGATTACGATGTTTCTTTCAATGGGGAGAAAATAGCACAAGTCGTGGATTCAATACGACTAGTGTTTGTAGTGTTTATATAAGCTTTCTAGGGTGATGTATTCATTGCAGTGGGGCTAATTGAATACTCATTCATTGGGTTATTTTCCACTGTTTTTTGGGGAGCTGACATCAAAGAAATCAAATAGAAAGGAAACTTGATAGACCAATAATAAATTGGCCGATCTCGAGAACACTCGAATAGTAAATCCCAATTCACCATTATAAATCGGTTATTATGGCCTATTGGCTCTTGTATCTCCTTACTGGTTTACCAAAAGATGCCGCCTGGACATTGATAAGGTAGGGTGTTGTGTTGGAGAAGACCTGAAAGGATAACCGTGTGGCCTCTCTGGGGCCAATGTTTGTCAGTATTGTTACGTGTTGATTAATGTAACAAAAAAAAAAAATTATTTACCACAACACAGAGCTAAATCACAAACAAATATTTAATTTACTAAAACAGAACATAAAATATATACAAGATAAACAATTGTGGCCTACAAAACAGAAAACAGAGTTACTGGCAAGTGTTACGAGGGAGAAAGGAAAGGGAGTCAAATATCTTTTAAATCACTTTAGGGCTAGTGAAGTAATCTAAGTGCTATATTTGGAAATCCACAAAGGTGTGTAAATAAATATTAATTTTTAGTTTGGTCAATGAAAATTAGTCAAAATTCTATTTACCAACTTTGTTCCATGAAATTCTCTTTTGGGTTTTGGTTGGTCGGCAACTTTTTATAGAGATTCTTTCGGCTGGATATAATAGTCCTTGAATCAAAAGCCGGAGTTGATACTGACAGCAATCTGTTTTCACCAACTGATAACCCTTTTCCAAAATCCCTAACACCTAATTTGCATTTTTCTAGATTTTTCTCGAATATACTAGAATGATCTAGAATCTTCCAAATATTCTATTTCTAATTTCTCTATTTTACAACTACTTCATGAATGAAAACTTTTTTGTAATAACAAGTAGAACTCAAAGGAATCCCTTATTATAGAAATGCATCCTCGTAACAGTATTATCTATTTGCCAAAGAATTCTGGAACTTGCATGCTATTTGCTATATAGTTGTTCACCAACGTATTTGACACCTAGTTGATTTTATTTTGTTATTTTATTTTTATTTTTATTTTTTATTTTTTGCTTCTTAATTATCCCGAATTTGATGACATTTGTCTACTCAATTCGCATCAGTAAAACGTGTCTTATTTAACAAAGAATGATTCATTTAAGGAACAAAAAGGTAAAAACCGGCGAATGATTTTGAATTCAACTGTATAGAAAATGGGATTTTCATAAGAAATTCGTGGTCGTTTTTCAACAAGCATAATTGGAATGGTAATTGTAATTTTTAGTCAAATTTTCTTATATTTTGTGTGATAATACTCGTACAAACACAGGTTTTAGGGTGTGTGCGCGCGCGTGTGCATGTTGATTTTTTCAAAGAATTATATTATTAATCTTTAGTAATGTTATTAATATATTTTGCATTTATTATAATTTTAGTTTAATTTATTTTTCTAGATGTCTCTCCATTTTAATTATCTTGACTGCATAACTTCTAAAATTAGATATGGTTTCATATGTATGAACAGCAGTCAATTTTCAGGATAAATTCAACCTGAATCAATTATTAATCTATAAAAGAACGCAATCATTAAATTTATTTTTATTTTCTCATATTGCATTTCTTTTCTATTCATTTGTTTAGTACGTTCTACCCTACTTTGTCTTACGTATATCATGAATTGATACCTGTTTTCTAATGTCTTTCTTAATCGGAATTTTAATTCATTAGTTCATTGCAGAATGTACACAGACTATATATATATATATATATATATATATATATATATATATATATATATATATATATATATATATATAAACTGATAAGTTTTTTGTTTGTTTTTTTGTTTTTTTTTTTGTTTATTTTTTACGCGTTTCATCCGTTAGGATTTCATCGGACTGGGCTTTGACAACGTTGCTACGTCTACGAAAGGAGAGACACAGGTAGTTTCAAAATTTTTTGAAAGACTTTTTTTCTCGCACTCTCGTTTCGTGCGCATGTGTAGACGTGGTAACATCATGTCTGAGCTAGTGGTTTTCTTAGGGTTACTTTGCATTGAGACTTCTAGGGCTGTAATAAAAAATACTACTGAGATTGTAAGACGGTGATGTTCTATGTCATTTAACCTTGAGGCAAAAACTGAGACGAAGATCTTCGCCTTATCTAACGAGGAAGAGATAACCTCGAGGCCATTTATAATAGTGAGCACAGACAGTTTGACACTATTCAGAATGTGATTGGCGATCATCCAAAACTATCGGGATTTAATTTGTTCGTTTTCAACCTCGGCTACACTTTGCATTTTCCAGAACTTTCTCGTAGTGATTGCGGGCAGTTCTCAATGCCCAATTGCACCGCTCCTTGTGATAGATATTGAAGCAATGTTTACGGTAGACTATGGCTGCAGCGTATTCAGAGGTTTTTGTTGGAATTTTTTTTTGGGGGGGGGGTATAAAACTCTCCATTCCAGAAATTCTGAAACGTGTGTAGCAGTTTTGAAGGTAACGTGTTTGAAGACGGTTAAGAGAAGAGATTCCGCACTGTAAGATCTAAAGCTGCTACAGTCTACCCTAATATAGCAAAACGTTGTTATATGTAACGGCAAATCAGGGATGTCTTTGGTTTGGCATCAATTTGGACACTGGTTAGAAAATGGTTTGACGTGCCCGGGCAGAGGGGTTAAAACTTTCGCGAAGCATTTTTCAGGGTAAGATGTGAGGAAGAGGTGAAGGAGGTTCGCCTGATGTATTGTCGCATCAGGAACGTGGGTGGGTTCTTCAATGATCTGAGTTCATAGGTGATGGAGAAAACTCTGCAGTGTCTAGCTTCTTCATCAGTTTTATTCGAGTGGACTAACCACTCTTTGTGATGAATATTGAAGTCACGAAAGATATGAAAGGTAGCTGAGAGAAATTCAATCCTCGCAGATATTCGGTCGAAAAGTAGGGTCCTATCGTTTTGAGGACTATAGAGAGTGAAAATGAATGTGGACTGCATGTGGACTCTACAAAGGCTAACGGTTCGGATAAAATTCCAATGATCGTTCAGAGCCTAGGCCCAGAAGTTGTTTAACTGCTACCGGAAAAAGAAATGTTTCCCAGGTCGATGAAAGTTATTAGCTGTATTCCCTGTTTACAAGAATGACGATGAGCGCTCATAATATGACCCCATCAGCCTCCTTTGTGTCATCAGCAAAATCCGTTTCTCTTATTAAAAAGATTGTTAATTACCTCAGTAGAAACAGCCTCCTGAAACAGTATAGATTTCGATCCTCTATGTTCACTACTGGTTTTAACTCTCAGTACACACAAAATCAACGAAGTACTCAATAATAAACTCATCACAAGAGCGATCGCCCAAAATAAAATCATGTCAAAGGCCTTTGACATGATATGGCATCAGGGTTGTTACAAAAACTCTCCAGCTATGACCTCTCTGGAAGAGTATTCACCTTGCCTTGAACGACTATTGGGACTCAAGTGGGGTTCATATATACGATCTATAGAGAAAATGATCGGTTCCAGAAATTACCTAACTCCTCTTAAAATGTTTTCTTTAAAAGTGTCAAATCGGACCAAAAATTGACGCATTACTACCATCTGGAGCTGCCCAATCCTTAATCTTCAGTCTTGCGGCCTTGTCTGTGGTTAATTATTTTCAATCCTTTAGCCCATAAACGAAACATCGCAAGCTACTATCGTTGTTTTCTGTAAAATCTTAAGTCAAGTTACATTCCTTATTTCCAGTAACTCAGATAATTAGGTACGTCGGGTTGAATAATCAACATTCATTTTGTCGCCCATAGATAAAGAAGAAAGTTTTCCCTCAGACGGCTTCTTCATGAGAACCGCTATTTTGTGAAAGTGACTCCCGAGAGCATGCTTCCCTGGTCACTACAATCTTAACCTCTTTTTTGGTCAACGGTTATCTATCTTATATGTCCTCATAATTTACTCTTAATTCCTCCTCTTACATCTATGCAACAACCTCGTTCAGTAACCCTCTTCCTTCAGCTTTATATTGAGTGAATATTTCCTTAAAAAAATGCTCTTCATTTAGTGGTGAATGCTAAACACGTAGATCAAAGTACTATGAAAATTTTAAGTCACAATTCAGATATCGAACCTGTGTATCGGCGTGCTCGTCTAGTTGTTGACTATTATTCGCAAGTTGTGAGTTCAATCCTCACTGTATGCTCCATAATTACGGCATTGTCAAACAAAACTAAGCTTAATAAATAACAATTATGAGCGCTTCGGTTTTGGATAATGGTTAGTGAACTTGTCTGGTTTACCATTATTATTGAGTAATGAGTTCGATCCGCATTGGATGCCATGTTTGGTTAATTTCAGAAAGTGGGCCAAGGTATGGACTTTTCAGCAATTAGTATTTGATTCCTGGCCATTGGTTATATTAAATTCAAAATGGATACAACCAGGTAAACTGGTAATGAGATTGATAACAGATAATGTCACGTTACTACTTATTAATGTCTTACCTCTGTCTCTCTTATTGCAGTACACCTACTCGGGTCCATCACAAAGTATGGGATTTGACACCGTACCTGAGGGAAACACTCACACTCAAGTGTGAGATGTTATTCAGTCAACTGCAGTGAACCAGCGAGTGACACTCAGTCGTTACCTGCCAATCAGGATTTTTTTTAATTTTAAACACAAGATTCAGCAACAAAAAAAGAAAAGAGAGAGGAAAAAGAGAAAGAAAGAAAAGCAGGAATTTACCCCCTGTTGTTAAATACTCACTGGAAGGGAGACTTGTTCATAAAAAGGGATTCAATGTGCAGGTGTAAGCATTGTGAATATCTACACGAGTTAATGGATGTGCGTGTCGGTGAGCGAGTTATTGTTAGAAGAAAGAATTTACTTGCAGTGACAAAAAAGATGAAAAAAAATGCATTCTCACCTTTACCCATCATGTCTATATATCAACTACTTACACGAAAGATAAACGCAGTCCTTACTCGTGAGCCCGTTCATATATCCGAAATATATAAGTATAAATACATATACTATCTAGTAATGCATAGTTCGCATCATACACACACGTCCATACACACGCGCGCGTGCGCGCGCGCACGCACATGTGTGTGTGTGTGTAAGTATCCATAATCATATCAGTAACCATATTTGTTTTGTCTTGTGCATTGATTTCAAATATATCAGTGGTAAGTATTTTGGATATATAGGAAAAATCCATGTATACAGATATTGTGTACGAATATATGAATGTGTAAAAGATACCAATACATGCGCATAAAGTCTCTCTCACACACACATATATATATATATATATATATATATATATATATATATATATATATATATATACACACACACACATATATATATATATATATATATATATATATATATATATATATATAAGTTAAAAGATCAAATGCAGATTAAATATGGATCGGAATCAAACAGGAGGTTAAAATAAAGAACAAATAGAAAACGTATATCAATCTAACATATTTCACTTTTATTAAAGCTTCGTCACGTTGACGAAGCTTTAATAAAGTGATACGTTTCTTATTTGTTCTTTTATTTTATCATTCATATATATATATATATATATATATATATATATATATATATATATATATTCAAAAACCAAATGAAAACATAAAGGAAAGCTATATTTATTTCAGGAAAACTGTAGTGTGCTATTTTCCCGATTATTTGAATGTCTTAAGTAACGTCATTCATTAATTCGCGAACCCAAGAACGAGAAAGCAACAAGTTTCGAATGAGTAAAATTAAGCAACAAGTTTCGAATGAGTAAAATTAAGCTTTTATAGCTTCTCGGAATTGTAAAAGGTGAGAAATGCATGTTTTTTCAAAATTGCTTTACTATTGTTAGTTTTACTTCTTTAAGCTGCCATCGATTTGTTGGTCGATATTAGATTCATCCCAATGTGTATTCGAGACGTAGAGTGCATAATGCTAAATACGGAACTACTCAAGTAAATTAATATTAACTCCCATATGTGCATGTTCGTGTATATTTTCAAGTTGATATATAAACATGATATGAACATTATTTAGGCGTGCAAAAGAATACATACATTTAGACACATGGCCAAATACATGCATACACACATACATACGTATACGCATTGTGTGTCTATATTCTTTGTGTTCTTTGCAAATCGCTTACCTACATATACACGCATATTTCGCTCAATGTTTGTAGATTTTGTATTCAACTTGCTTATTCGAATCTTCAATTTCTTACTTTCAATTTGAATAAAAGGAAAAATCGACCAGAAAAAAATCAATTTTTTAATTGAAATTTCTCTCTTCTCTCTTTCTCTCTCTCTCTCTCTCTCTCTCTCTCTCTCTCTCTCTCTCAATACATAAAACCCTCCCCCACACCCTGGAAAGCATGGGAAATAACGACTGATCAGTTGATTGGTCAAATCACATTTTCCCGCTTGATCATTACAAAAAGTTACTTAACCAATATCAGAAAAAGTTAATAAGTTTCTTTGTTTAGTTTATTTTTCTCTAACTTTTTAAAACCTTACTATCATCTTTTTGTAATCTTTTTATAACACTCCAACCAGTCAAGATAATTTTTAAAAACTTTGCTAGCAATGGAATCACGACGATAACGGCGACATAAACCAAAATATAAAACAGCACTACAATTGATTTCCAAATTATTTCAGTTCGTTAATATTGCGATCGATGTTAAAAACAAAGATAAATTAGCAGAACTTATTCTGCCGTGAGTAGATCATTTTAATTACTGCCTTAATATTAAAGAAGTTGCAAAAGGTTTCAATTCCACTTCGTCAATAGGGCAGTTTTTTTGTTTTCAAAATATTTACCGCATTTTACTGCATAAAGTAGAAAAAATGTATTCGTACTTGCAGGAGTTGGTGAATATTTTTTCTCGTCTAATTGTATACAGTTGTTAAATAAGATTAGACGGAGTTGGCACAAATTCATGAAAAAAGGGGGCAAAATTGAGGATCGATTCTGTTTGCGAAACAGGTTTACTGACCAATACTCTATGGCTGATGCTCTGCATACATCGTGTTCATATTTTTTTACTTTTTACGACTGTCGTAGTGCAATAGTAAGCAGGCCATTTTCAGCGAGTTCATTCTTTAATGAGTTCTCATATGACTTTATGAAAAGTTTAGTAAATGTTGCTTTTCTTTTATGCATGGTTGCTCTCTGTGACTAAAATACGCGCTTCTGTTGAAAGATGTGAATCAATCTGCAATATCTGTTGTTAGCGTTCAAATTTTGTTAAAAGTCAGGCTTTAACTAGATATTATCATAGATATGTCACCTTCCCTATCTCGAGAGTGATGCCATCATACCAAAAAAATAGAACTATTTTCTGGGAGTGTCAGTTAAAGAAAATTTGTTTGATGTCACTCAAATTTGAAACAACTGCGTTAACAGAAATTTCCTACGAAATATACAAAATGGCCGCTGGTGGCATTTTGTTGTGCGATTGGATAAAGGTGACAAATTGGATGTCGTTGGTCCACAGGCAAAACTAATCAAATATATTAAACAAATGAAAACCGATTGTATTTAAGCTCTAGATCTAACAACTGCAGCTAATAAAAGAAGTAAACAATTCTCTAAATTAAACCAGGCAAGACACAGATTTTAAATTATTAGAAGACAGATTTAATTCATACAAAGAAAAGCAGACTAAGATATTTTTTCTATAAGAGGAAGTAAGGTTATTTTAATGATAATATAATTATATTCTTCATCTGTATATAAAAGAATGTTCAGAATTTATTGTAAAGTTCATTTTAAACTTTGAAATCCTTGAGTTGCGAATAATTTGAGAAAACTGAATAGGAAAATGGTTTTGAACAAAAATTCAGATATATATCAAGCATTTAAATTTTAATGAATGCTTGAATAGATTGCAAATTATACACACATACACATACCGAGTGATAAAATAATTGATGAAATAACCAGGAAAAATATACGATATCTTTTTAAGGAAATGTCGAATGTGCACAAAAAGAGTATTCCCTACATGATGACAAACTCAACGACTGTTTTAAAAATTTAATATAATGTTAACAAACCTGAAATCATTTGTAGTAAGCATTAAATGAAATGGTTCAATTATTTTGGTTCTTTGTGTTTTTACTTTATTCAATTTATTTATTTAGGTTACACACAACCATATTTTATATTCGAGAGAGGAACATTTATATATGTTACTTTCATTGGCTTATTTCCAAGCTTCTGCACAGACAGTGTATACAAACACTGTTATACATACATACATACACACATACATACATACATACATACATACATACATGCGAATGCTTATATATATATATATATATATATATATATATATATATATATATATAAAGAACAAATTTTTACTGCAAGTGCTGCCAATCGAATGTTCCGTGTACTGGATACAAAAAGGTTGATCAAACACTCGCATAGTGTCCTGCTCTCTCTCTCTCTCTCTCTCTCTCTCTCTCTCACACACACACACACACACACGTGTGTGTATGTGTCTGTGTGTCAATATGTATTCAAATTTAGATACTTTAAAATACTAAAGTGAAGTAAAATATAACTAATATATAAGTTGGTTCATATAAATTATTAAATGGATTAACACATCACATTATAAAAAATATTGATCTCTCAGTTTGGGAGAAAAATGAAGAATTAACTTATTTTGCAACAAAACACTCATTCTAGAAGTGAGATAGTTTAACATTTCGATCGCAAATGAAAAGTGAAAAGATGAATTGATTTGAACAATTTAAAAAACATGTGAATCCGACTTATTTTATGAATGAATCTTTCTCGCAAAATTTGATAGTTTTTTTTTTTAACTTTTGCAGCGAATATAAAGCAAAAGCATCCTGCTGATTTTATAATTTGCAGTTTGTCTTGACTACATAGAGAAAATGTCCTTTTTTTTCTTTTTCTTTTTTTATACTTTTCTTTGTTGCTGTGGATTATGTTTCTGTTGTCTTTGTTCTTAGTTTTGAATTTCCTGTTGCTACTTTGATCAACTTGCATCCAAGCTCCACTCGTCTTCCAGTGAGTATTTTAGGCCGACGTGAAATTTTTAAAAAAAATTGAAAATGGACACTGTCAATCCTAGACAGACAAATAGCGTGTATCTGGCTACAATAAAGGCCTACGGATTAAAAAAAATAATTTCATTAGTTAAGACAAAAATTATATTTAATTTTTTTTAAAATCATTTTGAACTAAAAAAAATGAACCCGAACAATTATACCAACTTCCATTTTCTCTTCTGCAATATTTATGCATAAACATGTTGAAAAAAAAACACTATTAAAACATGAAAGAATTTTGCACCATGAAATAAAAACTTAAAAGAGAAATCGCCTCATGGAGACATTATTGTTTATCAGAAGAGATTAAATCAAAAACCATAATGGAAAACACCTTTTTAAAAATCAAGAGGGAGATTTTATCATCACAAAATATAAGCACTCTAAAGAAAGAAACATGTCGACTGTATTTTGTTCAGTCAGAATGTTCAAACGCAGAAAAAGTATTTTAAAAAATTCTTTTTAAAAGCGATAAAAAATATATACGAACTTCAAAGAAAAAACACTCACTTTATGAAACATTAGAATTAACTGAAATTTAAATTTCACTCATTTTCTATGGAAACATTTTGGATATTTACTCTAAAAGTGTAAAAAAAAAAAGAAAAAATCAATATGGTTTAAATTTCTAAGGTTTTTTGCTTGCTACATTTTTTATTTGTTTATACTTTTTATGATAGTTTTTTTTTATTATTATTATTTCAGCTTTTTGCATCCATTAGAATTGTTTCGTTTTGTTTCAATGTTCTGGCTGTTATTCTTATCACTATTATTTTGAGATGTGAATTATAAATCAGCTGTTTTATCGTAATTAAATTTCACATTGCACTCACTGCGTCTCAAGCATATATATATATATATATATATATATATATATATATATATATATATATATATATATATATCAATTGTAGACTTTAGTCGACAAAATCTACAGACGTCATATATATATATATATATATATATATATATATATAATCTCACATACACTAAACAGCAAACTGAATCATCAGCAAAATTGTTCATGATGTTACATTCGTCGGCACACAACCGGAAATTATCAACTGAGATTGAATCATATTGTAGCTCATGTGAAATGATTTTGCAGACATGAAATATATCTTAAATTCTAAAAGGTATATTTCTAAATTAAGCTATATCCCTATTAAATACAACTTTTGAAATACTTCAAAGACATCTGGAACAGAAACTACTCAGTAAACCCATTAAATAAATTTCGGGAAATAAAAATGATTTTTTAATAGAACAAATAAATAGAATAACGATTTTAAAATATTTTGATTAATGTTACCATGTCAAATTTTTATTGAAAATTATTTTGTTGATATTCATTTTATATTAATTATGCCCTGGTTCTTTTTACCCGCACAAATCGTTGATGTTTATCAACTTTATTATTGTTGTTATTACTACTATTATTATTATTATTATTATTATTATTATTATTTAAACTAATATTTTTAGCGATACTATTGTGAATACTGTTGATAGGATTCATTTGAGTGTATGCCTTACAATGATTCCCACTGGTTTTATTAGTTTGGTTGTTACTAATGTTGCTACTGCTATTATTATTATTATTATTATTATTATTATATTTCCGTTGAGTAAATTTGCCAGAAACATTTGCTGTTTTAAATCTGACCAAAAACCTTTCCTTTTTCTGTACTTATTTTAAAGTTATTATTGATGACACCCAGGCTTATTAATATCATTGTTGTTGCTGTAGTTCTTATTGTAGTTATCTCCAATATCTAAGGCATAGTTTCAATTCTTGTATACGCTCAGTTTCATACTTCCCGGTTTGTCAAAAATCCTGTATCGATTTTCCCAAACAAATTCTTTTTTTTTTAATTCATGTCATTTTACTGCTGTACTTTCTGTCCTCTTAGATTTACGCGTTATTTTTAGAGATATATTTATCTCTTTCTCTTATATCAAGCTGAAATACCAAACACTAACTTTTCATAAATTCAATGAAAAAAAAAAAAGAATGGAAAAAAATGCCACGGAGAGTTTTTTTTTTTTTTTTTTTCAAGCAGTAACAAAAAAAAAAAACAGAGACAGCACATAACAATTTTTCTTTTGTTACAAATGAGGATAATGATTTATCAGTTCATCGGTTTAAAAAATTAAATAATAATAATCATAATTGCTATTATTTGTTATTTCCAGGCAAATGTATATGTTGCAAGTTAGAAAAATAGATTCGAAAAGTTGAACAGTGAAAGCATT